CGAGTGAGTTCTGACTCCGCTCGAAGTCCCACCAAACTGGCCCGTGGAGAGGGTGCGCACGCTGGGAACACTCGCTGCGTTCATGTTCTTGCCTGCAGCTGCTCACTAAGTGTAAACACAGGTTTACCCCCTGGACTCACTGCCAGAGCTGCACGTACGCCCTGCCCATCAGGTCTCTGGGTAGAATCATCCTTGTCTAAAACGGCACACACAGGGGTGAGCTTGACTCTTTACCAATTGTCAGAACTGTTCCACAAATCGACTCTTGAACTAACTGGGTTTGTACCTAAACAAAGCCAAACCAAACCCTGAAAGACTTGAAAGAGCTACATATGAGCAGTCTCCCAGGCTGCTTCTTGCAGTTCCTTTGTTTTAGTCTTAATTATTTATTTGAAAGGCAGAGCTAGAGAGAGAGAATGAACAAGCTTCCATCTGCTGGTTGACTCCCCAAATGGCAGCACTGGCTGGAGCTGGGTCAGTCTGAAGCCAGGAGCTTCTTCTTGGTCTCCTACATGGGTGCAGGGGCCCAAGGACTTGGGTCATCTTCCACTGCTTTCCCAGGCCATTGGCAGGGAGCGGGATCAGAAGTAGAGCAGCAGTGTCTATATGGGATGCCGGAGTCCCAGGTGGAGGCTTCACCTCCACACCGGCACACCAGCCCCCAGAGTTCCGTTGTAAGGCAGCTGTATGCCTCCCCTCCAGAAGCAAAGCCTCTCTGCCAGACCGCCGGTCAGTCTCATCCATGGAGAGCAGACTCGGACACACTGGCAGTACCAGCTCCAGCTGACCAGCAGGTCAAAGTGAGGAGACACATCTCTCAAAGGGACGTTGGAATGGGCAATTTGCTCTGGTTCTCTCAGTACTTCTGGCACCCAACCCCCTTCTACCCAGACCTCTACAAGTGGGCTTGCTCTAAAAACTGCACCGCCTGAGTCTGCCAGTTGTCCCCAAGGCGTGCCTTAAGCCAAAGCCAGTTACAGACCTTCCCGTTCACTCCAATCACAAAGAGCTGCTAATCTTCCCTAGGTGTCCCTGGGAGTCACTAGGTGTCTTTTTAATCCACACAAATATGTGAGTAGCTGCTGGTGCTTTCACCTTTCAGAATCCGCATTTTGAGTCAAGTCTGTTCATCACCCACTTGAAGTGGGGTTTCCTTTGGGGGAGTTGGGGTGGAGGTCTGCACCCTGGGAACCAGCCAGGCAGTGGATCTCTTTAGTCCCAGCTTCCCAGGGCTTGTTGGTTTCTCTGGTGACCTACCTGCTATAAGCTCTTTGTGGGTTCCCAAGGAGGGAGGCAAGAAGGGTGTGCAGGTGGAGCGCTTTGGGACGCAGCTGAAAACCAAGCAAACCCTCAGCCCCACCCCCAGGGAGGTCCATAGTGGGGCTAAGGAACCGCCATTAAAAAAAAATTCCTCATAATTTTGATAATTTTTTTAAAGATTTTTTTTTTTTTGACAGGCAGAGTGGACAGTGAGAGAGACAGAGAGAAAGGTCTTCCTTTTTTCCGTTGGTTCACCTCGCAATGGCTGCCGCGGCCAGCGCTCCACGCTGATCCAAAGCCAGGAGCCAGATGCTTCTCCTGGTCTCCCATGTGGGTGCAGGGCCCAAGCACTTGGGCCATCCTCCACTGCACTCCTGGGCCACAGCAGAGAGCTGGACTGGAAGAGGGGCAACCAGGACAGAATCCGGCGCCCTGACCGGGACTAGAATCCGGGGTGCGGGCGCCGCAGGTGGAAGATTAGCCTATTGAGCCACGGCACTGGCCAATTCTGATAATCTTAAGCACTGAGGGGGCACGTAAGCTGTTTTTAAAATTTAGAGAATTATACTCTAGCTACCTCACTTCCTATGTGACACTTATTTATTGTGGGCATTTCCCACTTGACACCTATTGGAGTGCCTAGGTTCAAGTTTCCACTCCGCCCCTGATTTCAGCTTCCTGCCAGTGCTCAGCCTCGAGTAGTTGGGTCCCTGCCACCTATGTGGAAGACCTGGATTGAGTTTCTAGGCCCTGGCTTCAGACTGGCCCAGCCCTGTTAGGTTTGGGGAGTGAACAAGCAGAAAGATCTCTGTCCACCTGTCTCTCTACTTTAAATAAATGTGAAATGGGTACTTAATACATTAAAAGAAAAATGTGATGTCATTTTAGGTTTTCTCTTTGGAATTCCAAGGTGTGTAAGTGGAGAACTTTGTTAAATGCTAAAAGTATGTTTACAGCCCATAAAAACTAAACAAAAAAGGAGCAAGATAGCCTCCCTAAATGATGGAGGACTTCTGAATTGTAGTCACCATTGTTTTCAGGTTCCACTCCTTTTCAGTAGCTCTCAAATCACACTTAATAATACCAGAGGCTGGTGTTGTGGCTGTGGTGTAGCGAGACCTAGATGGAGTTCTAGGTCCCTGCTTTCGGCAAGGCTCAGTTCTGGATGTTTTAGGCATTTGGGGGAGTGAACCAGCAGATGGAAGATCTCTTTCTGCCCTTCAAATATGATTTTTTTTTAAAGAGTCCTTTAAAAAACATGTAGACTTTGCAATTTTCTTATGCATATTTTAGACATGCTTAAAGAAAAATCTCAAAACCCACAAGGATATTGAGGTGCTCAATTTAACAAAATGATCAAATTAATTAACCTCAGAATTCCCCAAACTAATTGCTTAAAACACCAACTTTTGATGTTAATATTTATCATTTCTCTTATACAATTCTTAATGAGTTGGGGCTGTTGTCCCAACTTCTGTTCAAGAAGGAGCAAAATAGCTCATTTTTTTTTAACCTATCTTTAAAAAAGCATTCATAAGGCAGAAGCCCAACTTAATGTTAATGGCAAAGGGTAGCTCTCAGCATCTACCTCGAGCTTGAAAACTACTACCTCCAAATGGCTTCTACACTTTCCATACCCGCACCTTCCAAGCAGCCCATGCAAAACCCAAGTTTAAGTGGGCACAGGAGAATTAGAGAATATTTTAAGTATTTCATAGAAAATTATTTAAACATTTTCTCTAGTGGATGGGAGTTGGGGTGGGGGTGGGGGGGAGATACAAAAGAGACAGAAACTCCATTCCCCCAGAAGAGAAATCGCCGGTAGCTGCTGGTAACACAAACTGAGATACTTAGAGCAGGTGCAGGACCATCAAGTGTAGATAATGAGGACAAAAGTAACCACGACGTAATTAATGCAGAGCAAGATGCCTCAGGATGCTTTAATATTAAAATTACTGAAATTTATATAATTATTTTCATCTCCCCTGCTTTCTCTTCTAAGGTTATTTGAAATAAAATGGTTAAAGTCTCATAAGACAAGTATAAAACAAAGGGTCAGTGAAATATACTTTCATCTTAGGATGGGCTCAGTGGTTAGTTGTCACTTAATCACATCCTGCATGGAGTCATGGCTACTCCACTCTGATGCACTTTCTTGCTAATGCTTACCCTGGGTGGTGGCTGATGATGGCTCAAAGTTTGAGGGTCTTTGTCACCCACATGAGACCTGGATTGAGTTCTGACCCTGGCTTTGGCCTGGCCCAGTTCTGGAATGTGGCAGGCATTGGGGGAGTAAACCAGTAGATGAAGGTCTCTTTCTAAAGCTGCTCTGCCTTTCAAATAAAGACAAATAAATATATTTACACATTTTTACGCCTTACTGTGTTAAAATAACATGCTTTAAAAAAATAGCATGCTTAAAATTCTGCATCATGAGCTAAAGTGTCCTTGAAAAGAGGCATGTTACATGAGGGTCTATCTAAATTCTGTGAAAGCTACCTTAAGTCTCTTGGAAAACAAAAATCTGGGCAGGAACAAAAAAAGATCTCTCTATAGCTCTAAGTTGCTGACTTCTAGTGTTTTTTTTTTTTTTAATTATTTGAAAGGCAGAGTTGGAGGGAGGGAGGGAGGGAGGGAGTTCTTCCATCTGCTGGTTCACTCCCCAAATGGCTGTAATGGCCAGAGCTGGGCTGATCAGGAGCCAGGAGCTTCTTCCAGGTTTCCCATGTGGGTGCAGGGGCCCATGGACTTGGGCCATCTTCTACTGCTTTCCCAGGCCATAGCAGAGAGCTGGATCAGAAGTAGAGCAGGCCGGCGCCACGGCTCACTAGGCTAATCCTCCGCCTAGTGGCGCCGGCACACCAGGTTCTAGTCCCGGTTGGGGCGCCGGATTCTGTCCCAGTTGCCCCTCTTCCAGGCCAGCTCTCTGCTGTGGCCAGGGAGTACAGTGGAGGATGGCCCAGGTGCTTGGGCCCTGCACCCCATGGGAGACCAGGAAAAGCACCTGGCTCCTGGCTCCTGCCATCGGATCAGCGCGGTGCGCCGGCCGCAGCGCACCAGCCGCGGCGGCCATTGGAGGGTGAACCAACGGCAAAGGAAGACCTTTCTTTTTGTCTTTCTCTCTCGCGATCCTCTCTTCCTGTCTCTCCCTCCAAAAAAATGTCTCTGCCTCTCAAAAAAAAAAAGTAGAGCAGCAGGGACTCGAACTGGCACCCTTGTAGGATGCCAGCACTGCAGGTGGTGGCTTCACCTGCTATGCCACAGTGCCAGCCCCTTTAGGTTTTTTTTCCTAATTTTTATTTAACATCAAACCAGTTTTGGTCATTAACAAAACAGTTCAATAGTACTGAGCTTGGCTTAACAACCACCATAAAGATTTATTTTTATTTGAGAGGTAGAGTTACAAAGAGGGAGAAACAAAGAGAGGACTTGCATCCACTGGTTCACTCCCCAAATGGCCACAATGGTCGAGCTGATCAGAAGCCAGAAGCCTCCTCCCGGTCTCCCACCTGTGTGCAGGGTCCCAAGCATTTGGCGATCCTCCACTGCTTTCCCAGGCCATCAGCAGGGAGCTGGGATGGAGCAGCCAGGATGCTGGTGCAGCAGGTGGAGGCTTAACCTACTACGCCACAGTGCCACCAACCCCAACCATGAATTTGTCCATCCATCTTGCATTAGGCAAAGTAAAAATATACATATGAACATAAAGAACTATTACAAGAAAAAAGACACAACTCAGATTTACTTTGAAAAATCTGATTTATTTTCTGAATCAAAAAAGTGTATTCTTGTTAAACTTAGAATGTTTAGCTTTCTGTTGATCTTTCAAAATACTTTCCAGATAATAGCAGTGCTCAGAACTATGTAAAAGTTAACATCCAATACCACATTTGAGAGAAAACAGTTTAAATGTAGAACCTATTTCTAAGAAATCCTTCTCAAAGGTCAAGGCATTGACAATTCTAAAGATGAAAGAATTTTAATAACTACTGGAAATTTAAATGACAATGAGTTTCAAGAGGTTAAAAACCATATCTCTTAGAAAACTGAGTGGACAACAACTTCAATTAAACATAATACTCCCCCAACTTCCACATTATTAAATGCAATATTTCGCCTTAGAATAGGAAAATTATAAAATGGAATTTCTAGATTACTTTATATATATACACCATTTTAACTGTCATGTTTGCTAGCAGAATTATAAAATAAAAAGTTCTACATTCAAGGGACCAGTGCTCTTTTATTGTTTATAAGAGTCCATCCTCTTCTTTGTTCTCTACTCCTCTATAAAATCATGACCAAAGGCCAATCCATTTATTCCAGCTGAAGAGCCAGCAGGTATGGGTCCTACCCACAGCAGGTCCTTTAACAAGTGCAGCCCTCAGAAGGCTGGGGTACTTTTAAGAACATGAGTTAGGAAGGCTTTAGAACTCCAAAGTGACTGGTAGGCCCGGGTCTCCACAATGCAGTAGACATTTCTCATGGGCTATTCGTGTGTAAGGAGGCATGGCCAGCATGCAAACTTCTTGAGGTAAGACAGACAGACAATATTTACAGAAGCTGCATATTGAAGCTAACCTGCTGCTGCTTATTTCATATAAACTGATAAAAGTTTTCTCACAAAGAAGACTCTGAAGCCAGTATTTTCTGATTTGTCACCCAAAAAATTAAGTCACTTCTTTCAAATCCATTGTTGGTAGACAATGTTTTCAATAAACGAAAACCTTTTCCTAGACTGCATTTTGTACTTAGCATGATAACATTTCTCATTTTCTTTTTCAAATTTGAAAGAACTCAGGTCTGAGTACTGATTTTTTTTCCAGGTACCAAGCAACACCAACAGGACCCATAAATAGGACTTTCTGACAGGCACTAAAGTCTGCTAGCATTTATAAAATACTCTGTGCTCTTCTTTCAAACATGATGGCTGAGAATTAGCAGTTATGATTAGTTTGCAGTACAAACACAATTTTAAATCCTGATTGGGGGGGAGGGAGAGCAACATTTTAAATAGTCATCAGGTTTTTTCAAATCAAAACAAATGAATACCAACAGAAACAAAAATGAAAATCACTCAACTGGCAACAAGTCCCATATGCCAGTGTTATTTTTAACCCAACAATCATAACCTGCCAGCAATTACTTATGTATCTGCTTGTCTTATTAAATAAGAACCAGTCAGTTATATATAAAAGAATAATTTCCAAGAATGGTACTTGGCACTGGGTTACCTTAATTCTGTAATAAATAGAAGCATTTAGAAAACACCAGCTCCTAAGCACTTTTTGTATCTGTAATTTCAATTAACACAAGTATTTTTACAACTTACTTTCCCACTAACAGATTCTAGGAAGTCTAGTCCCAGCTAACATGGCTGATTTTAAAAAACAAATCCGTAAGCCACATGGTAATGGAATACTATGCTTGCTTTTTATATCGCATGGAAAACAGTTCCAGGCAAACCAAAAGTAGAAGAAAACTAGCCAAATCAAAGTACTGTAAATAAAGTTCATTTTCTGTACCTCAAATTTTTAAAATAAGACACCCACTTCCCTCCCAATGCAAAAACCCACCCCAAACACTTCAGTTTTGAGTTCAACATTTCCCTAAGATGTTAATAGGAGAAGCAGGAAGGTACTTAAAGCTGCAGGAGTCACTGCTGAAAGAGGCAGACTACAAAGGGAATGCCCTCCAGGGTTCAGGGCTACCCACCCATCCCTTACCACCCCCACCCCAATAATAAGTAAAAGCTCCTGGTAAAGTTTCTTATGCTAATAAATGCAGACCACCTACTGTGCTAAAGACTACAACTAGCAGCACTGGGAGCAGGAGCAGTGAAAGTGAAAACAGGAAGCCTACAGGAGTGATCTAAAATGCCTACTTGGGAGAAACAAAGCAGCAAACAGGACCTTTGCCCTTTTGTTTGTAGCGAAGTGGTTGAATTAAACAGATTTACTCACGTTAACAAAAATTTAACAAAGCTTCCCCAAGACACCAGAATACAACTTGACCTTTCTTGTCAAAGGGCAGAGAGAGGCTGCTTCTGTGTCCTGGAGTTGAATGAGTTCAAAGATTGGCAATAAAGGAAAAAAGAAAGCATCAGGGGTGTGAAGGGAACAAGCTTGGGAGTTTATCGCACAGTCACACCAAGTTTCTCCAGCACACGGACACCCTTTTCTTGATATTCTTGTCTGGTCATCCAAAAGTTGTCTTTGTCTTTCATGATATCTGCTAGAACTGCACCACCCAGGAACACCATGTGCTTTCTGCGGGGTGGGTCTTCGATGCGGATCTTAAATTTCTAAAGGAGAAAAAAGGGTAACAAGTCATGCGTGCATAGTGCTTTCTGCATTCTGTTCTGTGACAATGACGTTCATGTATTCTCTTGTGGAACCTCACAACAGCCCTGCGATGTATGCAGAAGGAGATTCCTGAGGTACACTTTGCCATCGATGTCCCAAAGCTCACAGGCACGAGATAGAACAGCTCTTCCAGTGCACTTAAAAAGTCCTAATTTTTTTTTTTTTTTAAATTTACCTCCTGGGGCCTGCTCTGTGGCACAGAAGCTGGGCATCTGCCTGTGGTGCTGGCATACTATATGGGTGCTGGTTCAAGTCCTGGCTACTTCTCTTCCGATATAGCTCTCCTGCTGATGGCCCAAGTACTTGAGCCCCTGTGCCCTCATGCAGACCCAGAGGAGGCTCCTGGCTCCTCCTGACTTTGGATTGGCCTAGCTATGGTGGCTGCAGCCATCTATGGAGTCAACCAGCAGAGGGAAGACCCCTCTCTCTCTCCCTCTGTCTGTAACTCTGCCTCTCAAATATTTTTCTGTTTAAGATTTATTTATTTATTTATTTATTTCAAAGGCAGATTTACAGAGAGGAGAGGCAAAGAGAGGTCTTCCATACACTGGTTCACTCTCCAAACGGCCAGAACGGCCGGAGCTGGGCTGATCTGAAGCCAGGAGCTTCTTCCAGGTCTCCCACGTGGGTGCAGGGGCCCAAGAACTGGGGCCATCTTCCACTGCTTTCCCAGGTCACGGCAGAGAGCTGGATTAGAAGTGGAGCAGATGGGACTGGGACTGGCGCCCATATGGGATGCTGGCATGCAGACGGCAGCTTTACCTGTTATGCCACAGTGCCAGCCCCAAAAAGTAAATCTTGAAAAAAAATTATCTGAGAGAGCTCCAGACAGGGAGAGATAGAGAGGTTTTTCCATCTGCTGGTTGTCTCCCAAGAAGGCTACAACTGCTGTAGCGGGCCTATCCAAAGCCAGGAACTTCTTCTGGGTCTCCGGCATGAGAACAGGGGCCCAAGCACTTGGGCCAGCTTCCACTGCTTCCCCGGGCACATTAGCAGGGAGCTGTATTGGACGAGGAGCAGCCAGGATTCGAACAGGGATGCTGGTCTGCAGGCAGAGGCTTAGCTTACTACGGCACAGTGTAGCCCCTTGGACAGTCCTATTTACACTTACTGTACATCCTTAATACTAATAGTACTCCTCTTCCCTCTACAAAGTGGATTTGAACGATGTCTTTTTAGAATCAATCACCCTCAGAGTCTGAGTAGAGGCAAGTTTTCTCATTCATTGGTGGATGACCACATGGGAAGGTCACTTAACTGTATAATAAAGCCTGCATAAGAGGACTTAGAGGTCTAACACCATTATGACTCTGGTCCAGTGCAAGAGAGAAACCGAAGCTCTTTTAAAGTTGACTTTCTGTTGTCTCAAATTCAAATGAAATGTTCTCAAAATAAAACAAAGCCAAATATGGTCAAAACAAATCACAGGATGCTGGATAAAACGAACCCAGTAACCAAAATTAAAGACAACTGGAAAATGTTCTGTACTCCATAGTTACTATTAATTGTTAAGAAAGGACACACCCTTATGTGTAGGGTCAATCAATGTCTGAAGGAAAAACTTTAACATGACTGATGCTATTTACCAGTGTCACAGTCACAAAGGCTGCAAAGAAGATCAAAGTATGTAATTCCAAATTATCTTACTTCATAGAGAACTGCAGGGGGGCAGAGGGAAGATTCTGCCTGGGGAGTCTATATTCCATATGGGAGTGCCTGAGTTTGAATCCCAGCTCTGCTCCCAATTCCAGCTTCCTGCTACTACCCCCATCCTGGAAGGCAGTGGTGATAGCTCAAGTACATGAGACCTGCTTTGAGCTCCTCACTCCGGCTTCAGCCTGGCCTGGCCCGGCCCTGGACATTGTGGCCATTTTGGGGAGTGAACCAGCAGATGGGAGAACTGTCTCTCCTTCTAACTCTTTAAAATAAAGATTTATTTAAAAAAAAATTTCCTAGTTACCTTCTGCTTGAGTTGGGGGGTCAGTAAGCCCCACCCCCCTTTTGGAAGGGCAGACAGTGAGCACTTGGTTTTCCAGGTCTTTTTTCTAACTACTTGACGCCAAGTGCTACTGGCAAGTGGCCATATGTGTAATCGATAACACTAGGTAAACAATTGGGCCTGGCTGTATCCCAGTTCAACTTATTTACAAAAAGACTGTTTTGGTTCTAGGACTGGAGTTTGCTCACATCTGCTCTAAGAGAAACTTACCCAGTTCCTGAAGACACTGTCTTCCCTGTGGCTTTGTCAACTCTTTGCTATTTTTCCTTTCACACTACCTCCTTGTAACCCTGGAGATCGGTAACAAGAGTTCTGGCTCTTCATTGCTGCTTCCATCTCCCTCCTCTTGAACTCCACAGCCCCTCTGAAACTCACTCTATCAGGCCATGTGCTCCTGCACTCCTCCTCGGTGAAATCATCCATGGATCTTTGCTCACACCTACAGATCTCCAGGTTATTTCTTCTCATGCCTATTCAAGGTTCACTCATGCACATACTCGTCTACCACATCCTGATATCATCCTTAGTGACTTTGGCCTTTTCCTCCTCTCATATGCACTTGGCAGAACATCAACTCAGGTTATCAACTCTCTACTTTGTACCTGCCCTAAAGCAGCTGAATAAGACAGGAAAGAAACTCTGTGTCTTCCTGTAAATGTATCAGTAACTTCAACTGATCCCTCAGTGCTAGCTGGTAAGCCTATTACATTGCTCCATTCCCTCCTTCCATTCCCCCAAGATACCCCTTTCAGTCTATTTCTTTAAAGTTTCCATTCTACTTTTAACTTTTATTGAGAGGCAGAAAGAGCTCCCATGTACTAGTTCATTCCTCAAATGCCCATTACGACCCACAGCTGGGGAAGGAGTTGGCACCAGGCACTCAATCTAGGTTCCCTACGTGGGAGGCAGGAAGCCAATTACTTGAGTCATTACTGCTACCTCCTGGGATCTGCATTAGCAAAAAGCTGGAATCAGGAACAGAACCAGATCTTAAACCTAGGTACTCTGAAATAGAATGTCTTAACTGCTACACCAAACACCAGCCCCAACTCTTCCACTTCAAACCTCAGCTACCTCTGTCCTCTCAGCCTCCTTGCTGGTGTCTATTTACCACACCAGGCTTAGGGCCACTTGTGCTGCTTCCCCTCCAGCTCCCTGCTAATATGCCTGGGAAAGCAGTAGTTGATGGTTCAGGTACTTGTGCCCCTGTTCCCATGTGGGGGACCTGGATAAAGTTCCTGGCTGCTGGCTTGGGCTTGGCCTAGTCCTGACCATTGTAGCCATTTGGGGGAATGAACCAGTGGATGGAAAATGTGTCCTTTTGCCTTTCAAATAAATAAGTCTATCTTTAAAAAAAAAAAAAAACACACACACACACACACACACCCCAAAGGAAACACCAACTGTTATATACTAGGTTATAATTTTCTATTTTACACATCAACAACTACTAATTAATGTCTACTTCAGGAGATATGTTATTAGGAATATAAAAGAACTGGAGGCATGATACAGATCACCAGAAAACCTAAAATCAGAAACATGAGATACACCAAGAATAGTACGCTAAGAAATCCCAAAACGGGGTATTTTTCTGTAATATTACAGGTTCTTCCCAGGTCACTTAGAGGCTTAGATTCCAAGCTGGTCGTCACAAACCAGAACACTTGGTCCTAGGCTTTGCTGTCTCCATATACTGGTAAATACCAGCATTCAGCGTACCTTGAACCAATTCTCGTAACTATGCCAGGCTGTACTTGACTGATGCAGGAATTTGTTTTGGAAGACTTCTGCGCCCTCTGGTGGTCATCAAGCTACTTCACATGCTTTTGAAAGAATGCTAACAGATACTTACAGAAAGTTTTTCCACATCTCCCTTTAACACTCTTTCCAAGTAAAGCTGTTTAAGTTCTCTTTCCAACCGCGATGGCAGGCCAGGGTACATAGTAGACCCTCCAGAAAGCACAATGTGCTTATAGAATTCAGATCTAGAAAGATACAATGGTGTTCATTTAGTGTACTTTCAGATTAGGTAAATAGCACTGCAGGATTACTTACGTCATCCTCAGGGAGCTGCTGGAAGAATTAAGTAAAATTTCACATGTGAACTATGGGGCTGAATGTTCACTACTGTTATTCTTAGAAAACAACCCACTTACACATAACATTTTCTATCAGTTTTGATAAAAATATTTCAAAAATTACATGACATTTCATCACAAATGTAATTGAGTCTTTTAATAAAGAGCATTACAAACTTTATCAAGTGCTTCCCTGGAGCTGCTGAGAAGTGGTTATCTCCCATAATTAGCTATATTCTACTTTGATTACTGCTTTTCAGTTTTTTTCATTTGCCTTTTTAAGTATTTCCTTTTGTTCCTTTTGCCTTGAGGCTATCTGTTATTTTTGGCTAAGTTGATGTGTTTCCTTTTTATAACATCTCCCTCTTTTCTTAAATATGCTTTTGGCTGTATATATACCAGATAAATCTGAAGTAATTACACAGCAGTAATGTAATCTGAATGAGGGTCTCCAGAACTCTTATAGCAAAGTTTGGGAGCTGAGTCACAAAATGTCATCTAAGTTTTTAGTTTAAGTTAGGCTTCCAATGGCTTAAGTTTCTGCGATTTTACTGTTTACAAAAGCACTGTGGGAGGGGTGTTTGGCCCAGAAGTTACACGCCCCACAATGGAGTACCTGGGTTCAGTTCTTGGCCTCGGCTCTCAATTGCCAGAACCCGAGGAGGCAGCAGATGATGGCTGAAGTAGTTGGGACCCTGCCACCCATGTGGCAGAACTGGATTGAGTTTCTACCTCCCAGCTTCAGCCTGGCCCAGCTTTGGCCACTGTGGACATCTGGGCAGTGAACTGGCAGATCAGAGCTGTCTCTCTGAATCTCAAATTTTAGAAAAAGAGGGGCTGATGTGCCACAGCAGGTTTAAGTAGGCACCTGCAATGCAGGCATCCCATAGCAGTGTCAACTAGAGTCCCAGCTGCTCCACTTCCCATCCAGCTTCCTGTTAATGTGTCTGGGAAAGCTACACAAGGCCCAAACAACTGGGCCCCTGCCAGTCACATGGGAGGCCTGGATGAAGCTCCTGGCTTTGGCCTGGTTCAGCCCTGGCTGTTATGCCATTTGGGGAGTGAACCAGCAGATGGAATGTCTCTAACTCTGCCTTTCAAGTAAGTATTTATTTATTTGACAGGGATATAGACAGTGACAGGGAGAGAGAGAAAGAAAGGTCTTCCTTCCGTTGGTTCACTCCCCAAATGGCCACTACGGCTGGTGCCGCACTGATCCGAAGCCAGGAGCTTTTTCCTGGTCTCCCATGCATGTGCAGAGGCCCAAGGACTTGGGTCATCTTCTGCTGGCCTCCAGGGCCACAGCAGAGAGCTGGACTGGAAGAGTAGCAACCAGGACTAGAACCTGACGCCCATATGGGATGCCGGCATCTCAGGTGGAAGATTAACCAAGTGAGCCATGGCGCCAGTCCTCAAAGTCTTTAAAAGCCTTAAAAAGAGAACCACTGTTTTTGTATGTTACTGCTGAAGCAAGCACTGTGAATATAGCATAAGCCAAGCAGTTGAAGCATGGCTACATGTGCTATGAACATGTGATCTTTTACATGTTTGCTTTCAAGGAGCAAAACACACAAAAACATTTGTGTTATGTCACTTTGTAATGTAAAGCTCTGGAGAGGATATCAAATCTGACTCCTGTGATTTAAGAATGTCAGACTGGGGTGGGGGAGAGAGCGGTCTTGGCATTCACTGGTTCACTTCTCAAACAGCCGCAACTGCCAGGCTTTGAAGCTGGCAGCTTCTTCTGGGTCTCCCATGTGGGTGCAGGGGCCCACGACTTGGGCCATCCTCCACTGCTTTCCCAGATGCATTAGCAGGGAGCTGGACCAAAAGTGGAACAGCTGTGACTCGAACCAACACCCATACAGGATGCTAGCACTGCAGGCTTAACCTGCTATGCCACAATGCTGGCCCCTAAAATTAAAAAATTAAAAAAATATATATTTTAAAATTCAGTCTTTGAAAGGCAGAGTTATCTATCTTCCATCTGCTGATTCACTTCCCCTATCCTCTTATTTGTCCACAACAGCTGGATCTGGGCCAAGCTGAAGCCAGAAACCCAGAACTCGCTGTGTCTCCCACATGGGAGGCAGAGATCCATGCCTCTCAGGGCATACATTAACAGGAAGCTGGAACTGGAAACAAAGCCAGAACTTGAACCCAGGCACTCTGATATAGGATGCTGCCATCTCAGGTGGCATCTTAACTACTGTGCCAAATACCTGTCCTTTAACATTTGTTTTATTCATTTGAAGGGCAGAGTATCAGAGACAGACAGACACACACACACACACAAATAGAAAAATCTGCTGGTTCACCTCCCAAGTGGCAAACACAGCTGGGGCTGGGCCAGGCAGAACCCAAGAGTCTGAAATTCTATCTGGGTCTCCCACATGGTGGCAGGGGCCCAAGCACTCGGGTCATCATCTGCTGGACTGGAAACATGGAGTAGCCAGGACATAAGCCAATCTGGGAAATGGGGTCGGGGTGTGTGTGGGTGTTCTAAGCAGTGGGTTCTTGCCCCAAGCACATGCCTCAAAATACATGGTTGCTGCTCAGGATCATTAGATCAAGAAACAAAATCATCTACCTGATCCTTACCATAAGAATTTACCATAATTACTAAGGCTAGATGAGATTTTTGATTGTCTTCCACTTGGTTTATAGTTTATCAGCCCATTTGTATTTTTATTAATTTCTATTATCTGGGCTCCCCAGCCATCCATCCAAAATTAATTAGGGGTTATTTAATTCAGGTTTAAACAAACATACAAACCCTGGCATTATGCTGCTAGGTATGGGGAAGAGCTTTTAACTTAACAACTATGACTCAAACGATACTTGAACAAGATTATAAATCTTTCTATATAAATAAAAATACCATGAACAAAAGACAAATTGGGATAAAAATATCTCCAACAGCTATCACAGAGCTAAAAGAACGAACTTTTAAAAACTGAGTAAACAAGCCAATACTGTAGTACAGTAGGTAAAGCCACTGCTGGCGATGCCAGCATCCCACAGGGCACTGGTTCAAGTCCCAGCTGTTCTACTTCCAATCCAGTTCCCTACTAATATGCCAGGGAAAGCAACGTAAGATGGCCCAAGGCTTCAGCCTGACCCACCCTGACTGTTGCGGCCATTTGGGGAGTGTACAAGTGCATTGAAGAGCTATGTCTCTCTTTCTGTCTTTCAAATATATAAGTGGAATATTTAAAAAATGAGATAAAAACCTAGAAAAAAAAAAAAACAAAGACATGGGTAGGCATCGGTTACAGCAATAAAGTCACTGCTTGAGACACCTGCTTCCCTGGTTCACCTACATGTCTGGTTCAAGGCTCAACTCCTCCACTTCTAATCTAGCTTCCTACCAATGCAGCAGCTGATGAGTGAAATGGCAGGGTCCCTACCACCCACACTGAGTTTCAAATTGAGTTCTAGGCACCTGACTTTGGCCTAGGCCCAGCTTTGGCTGTAGGGGGCATTTGGGAATGAACCAGCAGATGGAGGATCTCTGCCTTTCAAATAAAATGAAAATAAGCTAAATTTAAAAACATATAAGCTGACCCCTCAACTTTATTACTAAGAGAAGCAAAAATTAAAACTATACTGAATTAAAACTATACCGCAGCTCAATAGGCTAATCCTCCACCTAGTGGCGCCAGCACACTGGGTTCTAGTCCCGGTTGGGGCGCCGGATTCTATCCCGGTTGCCCCTCTTCCAGGCCAGCTCTCTGCTGTGGCCCGGGAGTGCAGTGGAGGATGGCCCAAGTGCTTGGGCCCTGCACCCCATGGGAGACCAGGAGAAGCACCTGGCTCCTGCCATCGGATCAGCGCGGTGCGCTGGCTGCGGCGGCCATTGGAGGGTGAACCAATGGCAAAAGGAAGACCTTTCTCTCTGTCTCTCTCACTGTCCACTCTGCCTGTTAAAAACAAACAAACAAACAAAAAAACCACTATACTGAGCTTGGAGTAACAGTAAACTTGGGGGAGCAGGTGCTGTGGCACAGTGGATAAAGTAGCCACCTGCGATGCTGGCATCCCCTATGGGTGCCAGTTCTTGTCTGATCCAGTTCCCTGCTAACTGCCTGGGAAAGCAGCAGATAATGGCCCAAGTACCTGGGTCCCAAACTCCTGGCTGTGGTCTGGCCCAGTACGTCGGCCACTGTGGTCATCTCGGGAGTGAACCAAGATGGAAGACTGATCTCTGTCTCTCCTTCCCTCCAACTCGGATTTCCAAAATAAATGATTTTTTTTTTTTTAAAGTAGTAAATGGGGGGCCAGCATTGTGGCATGGCAGGTTAAACTGCTGCTTGTGACACTGGCATTCATACAAATGCTTGTTCAAGTCCTAGCTGCTCCACTTCTTTATCCAATTCCTGCTGATGCACCTAGGAAGGCAGTGGAAAATGTCATGAGTGCTTGGGTCCTGTCACCCATGTAGGAGTCTCAGATGGCCTTCCAGGCTCCTGGGACTATGCTATGGTACAGCTCCGGCATACCATATGGACACCAGTTTGTGTCCCAGCTGCCCCTCTTCCAAGCTAACTCTGCTATAGGCTGGGAAAGCAGCAGCATATAACCCAAGTGCTTGGGCCCCTACACCCACATGGGAGACCCGGAAGAAGCTCCTGCCTCCTGGCTTTGGTATTAGGCCCAGCTCCAGGCATTGCGGCCATTTGGGGGAGTGAACCAGTGGATGGAAGAACATACCCTCAGATGGATGATTCCTTCTGAGGGGAATTTGGCAACATCTAACAAAAAGAACCCACATTTACATCAAACTCGAAGCCACATAGGAAAGGAAACAATCTTTAGAAGAAAACTTAGGAGAAAATTCTTGTAAACCATACATATAACTGAAAAAGGGATTAATACTCCAAATACATAAGGAACTCAAACAACTCAACAACAAGAAAACCACCTGATTAAAAAATGGGCAAAGGCCCTAAATAGACATTTCTCAAAAAAAAGACATACAGGCCGGCGCCGCGGCTCACTAGGCTAATCCTCCGCCTTGCGGCGCCGGCACATCGGCTTCTAGTCCCGGTCGGGGCGCCGGATTCTGTCCCGGTTGCCCCTCTTCCAGGCCAGCTCTCTGCTGTGGCCTGGGAGTGCAGTGGAGGATGGCCCAGGTGCTTGGGCCCTGCACCCCATGGGAGACCAGGAAAAGCACCTGGCTCCTGCCATCGGATCAGCACGGTGCGCCGGCCGCAGCGCGCTGGCCGCGGCGGCCATTGGAGGGTGAACCAACGGCAAAAGGAAGACCTTTCTCTCTGTCTCTCTCTCTCACTGTCCACTCTGCCTGTCAAAAAAAAAAAAAAAAAAAGACATACAAATGGCCAACAGGAATATTAAAAAAAAAAAATGCTTGCTTTCATCCAAACCGCCATCTTCCAGTAATTGCCAAGATAATGAACACAAAGGCAAAGAATGGCACCAGATACAAGTCTTCCAGGCATTCCTGGAGTTCTTTGGTCTCATACACAAGCATTTACAAGAAAGGTGACATTGCAGACATCAAGGGAATGGGTACAGTTCAAAAAAAAAAAAAGTCACTGTTACCATGGCAACAATGTTACCCAGCAAAGCTGCTGGCATTGTTATAAACAAGGGTAAGATTCTTGCTAAGAAAATAAATGTACTTATTGAGCGTATTAAGCACTCTAAGAGCTGAGATAATTTCCTGAAACCTGCAAAGGAAAATGGCTGGAAAAAGAAGGAAGCCAAAGAGAAGGGTACCTGGGTTCAACAGAAGGGCCAGCCTGCTCCACCCAGAGAAGCCCACTTGGTCAAAACCAATGGAAAGGAGCCTGAGCTGCTGGAACCATTCCTTATGAATTCACAGCTTAGTAAGTGTAAAAAGAAATAAAAGACTTCTGTACTGTAAAAAATGTTTAAAAAAAAAAGATGCAACCTGCTGAACCATCATGGAAATGAACATTAAATTATAATATGGCCTCCCACCTGTTGAAGTGGCTATTACCAGGAAGACAAAAAGTAAGCATTAGTGAGGATGTGGAGGTAAGGGAACCTGTGCACTCTTGGTGGGCATGTGAAGTAGTAGAGCCATTGTGCACAAAGGAATGGAAGCTCTTCAAAGAGTTGGAGTAGAGCTCCTGTGTGGGCCAGCAATCCCACCATGTAGCCACTCTGAATAGTGCTGCAGTGAACATGGGAGTGGGGTGACATGCTGGTCAAAGGACTCAGTTTCAGTTAGGATGAAAAAGCTCAAGAGATCTATTGTGTACCATGGTGCAGATTTTTAAAATGATATTTTTAAAAAATTTGAGACAAACGCAGGGAAAGAGTGCTCCCATCCACTGGTTCACTTCCTAAACGTCCGCTACCAGGGCTGAAGTTGGGTGCAGGGAACTCAGTCCAGATGTCCAACATGGATGACAGGTACCCAACAATTTGAGCGCTCTGTTGCCTCCCAACGTTTGCATTAGTAGGAAGCTGCAGTAGGAACTAGCTACAGCTTGAAAATGAATCCAGGTACTCAGATGTGGGATGTGGACACCTTAACTAGTAAGCCAAATGCCCATCCTCTGGTGACTATATTTAACCACATCATATTGTATACTTTAAAATTGCTATTAATATACTTTTAAGTATTCTCATAAAAATTCTATTAGTGAGACAGCCATTTCACAACGTAAATATATTTTAGAACATCATGCTGTATACCAATAATACATGCAAGTTTTGTCAGTTTAAACAGATTAACTGGAGTGGGCAAGTAGCCTAGTGTTTAAACCTGCTGTCCCACATGGCTCCTGACTCTAGCTTCACGCTAATGCAGACTCGGGAGACAGTAGTAAGGGTTTAAGTAATTCAGTTTCTGCCACCCACATGGACTGAGTTTCCAGCTTTGGCCCCCTTGTCATTTTGGGCATTTGGGTAGTGAACCAGCAGATGGGAGACAGACCTCTCTCCCTTTCCCTTCCTCCCAAATAAATAAAAACACTTGAAAATGTACAAATATATGCATTTATGCCTTGACCCAGCAAATTCCTCTCCTAGAACATATACATTTACATGCATGAAAAAAGTTATTAACTACAGTGTTGTCACCATGAATACTGGACTCTACCTAAATAACCAATAATAAGGGACCCAGCAGTGGGTTAAGCCACTGTCTGCTCCACCTCTGCTACTGTGCCTGGGATAGTGGAAGATTACTCCTATGCTTGGGCCCTTGCACCCACACAGGAGACCTGTATGGAGTTCCAGGCTCTTGACTTTAGCCTCGCTCAGCCCTGTCTGTTGCAGTTATTTGGGGTGTGAAACAGCAGATATGGAAAATCTTTTTTCTTCTGTGACTCTGCCTTTCAAATAAATAAATATTAAAAAATTCACTGAATTAACTGGATATATTTGTACAACATAGTGTTATGCAACTGACAAAAGAATGAAGACAATCCCTATGAAATCATACAGCATTATTTAGGATACACTGTTAAGTAAAAAAGCAAAGTACAAAAAAGTAACTGATGTATGCTACCTTTTGTGTAAGAAGAAATAAGAAACACAGAAAGGATAACCAGAAACCTGTGAGATGATGGACCTGTAAGAGGGATGAGGACTGTGTGGGATACTTCTCATTTTTTTTTCCACTAAAAAATGTTCTTTTTAATTTTGTTTGAAAGGCAGAGAAATGATCTACCCACTTGTTCACTCCCCAAATGCTTGTAATGGCTGGAGTTGGGACAGGATTAAGCAAGGAAGCTGAAATTCAATCCAGGTTTCCCATGTTAGTGACAAGTAACCAAGTACTTGAGCCACCACTGCTGCCTCCCAGGGTGCTCATTAGCAGGAAGCTGGAACTGAAAATGGATCTGGGCCGGCGCTGTGGCTCAATAGGCTAATCCTCCGCCTGCAGCGCCCACACACCGGGTTCTAGTCCTGGTCAGGGTGCCGGATTCTGTCCCGGTTGCCCCTCTTCCAGGCCAGCTCTCTGCTGTGGCCAGGGAGTGCAGTGGAGGATGGCCCAGGTGCTTGGGCCCTGCACCCCATGGGAGACCAGGAGAAGCACCTGGCTCCTGCCTTCGGATCAGCGCGGTGCGCCAGCCGCGGCGGCCATTGTAGAGTGAACCAACGGCAAAGGAAGACCTTTCTCACTGTCTCACTGTCCACTCTGTCAAAAAAAGAAAAGAAAAGAAAATGGATCTGGAACATGAACATGTGTACTCTAAAATGGAGACAGGTGTCAGAAGTAGTGTCTTAACTATACCAAATGCTCGCCCCTCGATATACATTTTTGTACAGTTTTGACTGTACAGTTAATATTATATATTTCAAAAACAATGTCAAAGATGAGCTGAGACCATCCTATACTACAAAACAGAATATGCCCAAAAACTAATGGGGGCAAGTCACAGAAGGGACTTCTACAGTCCAAATCAGAAACAATATGAGCAGCACATTAAAGGCAGTAATAAAATGTAACCCACTGTTTTACAACCGTCACAATAAAAATGATTTAGGCAAGAATCATCAATGATGCTACATGTAGGGAAAGAACAAAGTTTGGTGTCATTTCAAAGTATTTCTCTACAAATTACTTATTAATTAGGAAAGGAAAAACTATCACCAACAAGGAAGAGAAATGACCTCTGGATGTGATACCCTTAGAAGGATATGTCACTTACATGGTATGCTAGCCAAAATTATGTAACTTGGGTCTAACTGTGAAAAAACAGACAAACCAATAAAATAATCAGTCTGTACTGTGCAAAAATGTCAGTGTCTTAAAAGACTAAGAAACTATCAGATAAAGAGGGTAGGTAAAATGTGCATCAACAGTAAGTCTCAAACTCCTTAACTAAACTTGGATTATATAAGTGAGTATCTTTGTTCTTAGGAAACACAAACTGGTAAGAATTGATACACTGAATCTACTTTTAGGTAGTTAAGAAAATGAATAGAGAAAGAACGATAAAGCAATTAAAACATGAAAATTAGTAAAATAATAAATCCAACTAAAAGGTATATTTGAGTTTTCTGAATTATTATAACTTTTATGTAACTTAGAAATTATTTCAAAAAACCTTCAAGTGGCTTTTCACTTCATATATATGCTATTACACACATGTATGTAAAGATGTTATTCAACATCCAGTACCACACTATCAAAACTTATGAAGGGGCTAATAGACAACTTTGTTGTTCTTATTTATACTTCATCTATGTCTGAAATGATATGGAAACTGTTACTTCTAACATACCTGGTATCAATGTCAGCTGCCTGAATTGTGTTAAAAAGCAATTCAGCAACACCAACTCCCTCCACATTGATTAAATGAGGCTGAAATAAAGCTTCTGGAGCTTCAAATCTCTCTCCCCCGACTTTGATGATGCGTCCATCTGGGAGCTAGAAACCAACACCAACCAGGTTCCAGTTAGCAAAACATGAACATTTTCCAGTGTTCTCTAAAACACTAGCACTTCAAACACATTTGTTCTACAATCAAAATCATTATCTGCAACCATGTTTGCTAAAATATGGTTTGAGGGGGACAAAGGTTGATCACTGTCATCATGCTCTGCTGTTTTTAAAGATGGTGTACCGTGCCCCTCTGCGTATCTGGGAATTTCTTGCAGAAATCACCAATGCATGAGCTCAGGATATCCCATCTGTGTGAGCAGCCAAGGACTAAACAGGCAGCACTGACCAACTACTGGATCTGATTACGGTCTGTATGTGGTAATGCTGTTTGTTTTGTAATTTCAACACAGTTGTGATCTTACGGAAATTTCTGCCATGTAGAACAAACATTAAACATTTAAATTTTCTTTTATCAAACAATTACTGTTTAACTATTATTTTGCCATAATACTTTGTAACATGCATACTACTTCTATCAAATCATTTAATCCAAAAACCATTTTATGATCAAGAAAGTTTAAGGAATGCTGACCTAGAATTCTTTTCATTAGGTAATTCTTTTCTACCCTTTTAAATCCTTATAAATTGCTAAATTAAAAGTATTTATCAGTTACTTTCAAAGATGTAAACAGCTCAAATATCATAACACCATGACTTCTAATAGAAAAACTCTTAATTTACATGTTTACATTTAATTAAATGAAAAATGGTAGAGAAGCTCGTTTCACTTCAATGCATTGATCTAATAAACACATTCATGTACTGTGCATTATGAGACATCAGAATTAGTTTTATAGTAGTATTTCTAATTATTTTCTGTAATTAGAAGTATATTTATATTCTAAAAGTAACTACCCAATATGATAAAGCACTACAAAATTAAATTCCTTAAAACACTGACTACATATGGCTGTTACTGCTCACACACATGAGTACGTTTAAAGCAATTACATCTCCCCCACAAACTCAAGGATTAACTTTTTTGTAAATTGTATCAGATTTCATAAAAATGAGATATCAATCCAAATATTTTATCCTTAAAAACAAACAAAAACCCTCAGATGAGTTCACGTGTGCTCAGCCAAGACATTTGGAAAGACTTCACAAAGCAAAATTTCCTTCCCGTGCACCTCAACCTCTCTGACAGTGCACTTCACCTCCATTTGCAGGCTGCTGGCCTGCATGGCTCCTCAGTCACCCACCTGTAGGAACTGTTTGAACTACAGGCAAGGCATTTCTTTGCACCAAATCTTATCCTATCATCTGTTTATCCACCATTGTTCTCCTTTACTTATTAGTTTGCTGGCTTTTTTTAAAGTTTGCTATTTTATACTCATGTATTTTGGTAACTTACCTTTACAAAAGGGGAGAAATAAATAAGACTTGTTTTTTACATCTCTAGTTGCCTCATGCCACTCTTTTTTTTTAGAGGAAAGGTTTATTGTCAGGTAGGGGAAGCCCGACGGGGTGGGGTTGGTGGGGGAGAGGGTTAAGAGAATGTAAGAGATCGAGAGCGAGCGAGCGAGCTTGTGCCACTCTTTTAAAGAATGAGGGAGAGAGAAACCTTTCATCTGCTGCTTTACTCTCTATAGGCCACAACAGCCAGGGCTGTGCCAGACTGAAGCTAGAAGCCAGGGGCCAGGAACTCTATCGTGGTTTCCCCCATGGGTATCAAGAGCCCAAGGACTTGGGCCATCTTTTCCTGACTTCCCAGGCCCATCAGCAAGAAGCTGGATCAGAAGTGGAGTAGCTGAGACTTGAACTGGCACTTTGACACAGGATGCCAGTAAAGTCACTGGCCGTGGCTTACCCGTGTGGCTGTAATACTGGTCCTGCCTTGTGATACTTTCTTACCAACAGGTCCAGTAGATGGAACATTAGAAATCTACAGAACTGGAGCTGGTGTTGTGGTGTAGCGGGTAAAGCCACCGACTGCAGCACCAGCATCACATATGGGCACCGGTTTGAGACCTTGCAGCTCCACTTCCGATCCAGCTCTCTGTTAGGACCTGGGAAAGCAGTCGAAGATGGCCCAAGTGCTTGTACCCTTGCATCCACGTGGAAGACCCAGAAGAAGCTCCTGGCTCCTGGCTTCGGACTGGCCCAGCTCCAGGCCACTGTGGCCATTTGGGGAGTGAACAAGCAGATGGAAGACCTTTCTCTCTCTGCCTCTCTCTAACTCTGCCTTCTAAATAAATAAATCTTTAAAAAAGGGGGAGAGGCCTGCACTGGTGTAGCGGGTAAAGCTGCTGCCTGCAATGCCAGCATCCCATATGGCATTGGTTCAAGTCCTAACTGTTCCATTTCAAATCTAGCTCTCTGCTATGCCCTGGGAAAGCAGTTGAAGATGGCCCAAGTCCTTGAGCCCCTGCACCCACATGGGAGACCTGGAAGAAACTCCTGACTCCTGGCTCCGTTGCTGCCATTTCAGGAGTGAACCAGCGATGGAAGACCCCTCTCTCTTTGTGCCTCTCTGTAACTCTGCCTTTCAAATAAATAAATAAATAGTAAAGAAATCTAGTGGCTTCAGAAAAGAATATCTTGTGCAAATCTGGAAATCATTAAGTTATAAAGTGTGTGTTTTATTGTGTATTTGCATCAATATTCAAAAACCCAGGGGTTGGTTTTTAATACAATGGTTAAATTCACTGCTTGAAAAACTCATATCCCGTAGCAGAGTACCTGATTCAAGTACCAGTTCTTCTGCTTTCAATTCAGTTTCCTGTTACTGTGCACCCTGGGAGGCAGCAGATGATGGCTCAAGTACTTGGGATCCTACCACCCACAAGGGGGTACAGGATTGAGTCCCAGGCTTCTGCCTTTAGCCTTGGTTGTTATGGGCATTTTGGGAGTGATCCAGAGAATGGATGATCTATGTTCTCTCTGCCTTTCCGATAAAATGAAAATAAACCAATTCATAACATTTTATAATTACTCTAAAAATGACTATCTTAAACATATTTGTGAATATGCAGAGCTAATACTGATCACAGTTTAAGAATACATTTTATTGCCTATCGCTACTTCATTTTAGTAATACAAATGCAAAAATGAGAAATGCAAGTACTTTACATCCAGATGAATTTAATGGGCTAAAGACGGTAATTCATTAAAAATTCAGGGATGGGGCTGGTGTTATAGTACAGCAGGGGTAAGCTGCCACTTGTGATGCTGGGAGCACAGGTTCCAGACTGGCTATGCCTGGGAAAGCAGAAAAAGTTGGCCAAAGAACTTGGGCCCCTGCTTCCTGTGTGGGAGAGTTTAAGGGTAGAGGTCCTGGCTCCTGACTTTGGTCTAGCCCAGCCTATTTGGGGAGTGAACCAATTGATGGAAGACCTCTCTCTGTTGCTCTGCCTTTCCAATAAGTAAAAATAAATCTGGAAAATTCTGGGAGGATCATCTCCCTGGTGCTGTAACTAGATTCTGATTCTCATCAGTTACAATATAATGTTTTGAACAACTCATTAGGAAACTATTAAGGAAATGCTGCCACCTACTGAATTATGAAAGCAATACTTTCGAATGACCACTTTCCAAAGGATGTTTCTTGGGCTCCTAATCTCATGAAATGCTGAAAAGCCACACAGTTTAATAAATCAGGAAAATAGGCAAACTATAATCTCACAATTGTAAACCATTAGCTCATCAATGACTCTGAAAAGTCTTACGCAAAAGTAAAACTGTCTCACATACTTAAGTGATAATTTAACCCTTTTTAACTTTTCTGAAACATGCATTAACATCTCAGGGAAAGAACATCCTATAAACCATATTGAAAGAGGCCAGCACTGTGGCATAACAGACTAAGCTGCCACATGCAGTGCCAGCAGCCCATATGGACACCATTTCGAGTCCCAGCTGCTCCACTTCTGTTCTAGCTCCCTTCTAATGTACCTGGGAAAGCAGCAGAGGATGGCCCTAGTCCTTGGGCCCCTGAACCCAGGTGGCAGACCTGGAGGGAACTTCTGGCTTCAGCTTGGCCTAGCCCTGGCCATTATGGCCATGTGGGCAGTGAATCAGCAGACCCCTCTGTCTCCTTTTAACTCTGCCTTTCAAATAAATAAAATCTTAAAAATTGAAAAATGCTAATTAAATACTGGAATCTCAAACTCATATATCTAATTATATCCTATAGTAGAAAGTTCTTTAGGATTCTTGCCTTCAAATCATACAGTATCCTAAAATAAATACAGAATCTTAGAGACATTTAAGTCACACCTACATATGTTACAACCCAAAACAAAAATACTGATTTCAAGAAAATCTCCTTAATTTGACAACAATAATTATAAGGCTGTCCATCTTAAAATCAAATATATATATTATGCATTACAAATACTTACTGTATAAGATTCAACTAATACTGTGGTTTCTAAGGCCAGTTTCTGTTCTTGCTCAATATTATATCCAACATAACACAGTTTTTCTTTAATCATGCGAACTGTTTCGAAATCAGCAGAATGGTTGAAGGCGTATCCTCGCAACAGAAGCAGCTGGTACAAAAAAAGAGCAGTAAGTTCATAACAGATCTGAATGAATTTCACTCTGCAAAAGCTATTAATGCTCACTAAATATGTCACATCAATAATAAATACAAAAGGCAGTGAATCCTCAGCTTCTACTGGATATTTCAGCAGCAAGGATTTTACCCGCTGTAAGAAGGTTGTGAAAAAGGTGGAGTTGGTGTGGTGCTGCCATGCCTCCCCTCTTCAGTCTGCAGTTTTTGTACCGCTTCCAATTGCTATGTTGGGATGGAGCACCTGGAGGTTCACAACCTCTGTGGTCCACAGGAATCATTATGGGGAGGGCCCAAGAAGAATTTGGAAGTTACTAATCAGAACGACTTTGTACTTTGGATCTAAATTTGCTGCACTTTTCTTCACAGTATGACACACCTGCTTAAGAAATAAGGATTTTTGGCTCATCTATTTTAAGAGGTGCAGTGCCTTTAAACTCACACAGCATACTAGGTATATTTGCAAACATGAATGCTTTAAAAATACTTAATTTCAGTTTCACAGTAACAGATTAACAGTTATTGAGTAACAAATGAAAACAAGCCAGTTTTTATAAAGAGTACTTACTACTGGGGCCAGTGTTATGCAGAAGGGGATTAAACTACCACTTGTGCCATGCCAACATCCTGTATTGCAGTGCTGGTTCTAGTCCTAACTATTCCACTTCCAATATAGTTCCCTGCTAATGTACCTGGGGCACTAGCCGAGAATGGTCCAAGTACTTGGGTCTCTGCCACCCATGTGGGAGATCCATATGGAATTTCTGCTTCTGGCTTCGGCCTGGACTTGGCTCTTGTGGCTATTTGGGAAGTGAACCAGAGGATGGAAGACCTCAGTCTTGCCCTCTCTCTATTGCTCTGCCTATTTATTTGAAAATAAATATTTAAAAGAATACTATTTTATGATTCATGTTTAGTTTTGATAAATAATCCAAAATAAATTAATGAGTAAAGATTGTATCAGTGCTGGCTGGGCTTCTGTAGTTGGCAATTTGCTCACAGTATCAATGCCATATATATGACATCCCCCAGACCTTAAAACAGTTTTATACCTAGATTCCCATACTGTCTGGCATATATTAGCAGGGCAATAGGATTTGTTGAAAATGAATGATAAAGGAGCTATCACTGTGGCATAGCAAGTAAAGCCCAGCTCATATGGGCGCTGATTTGAATCCCAGCAGCTCTGTTTCTGATCCAGCTCCCTGTTAATGTGTCTTGGAAAGCAGCGGAAGATGGCCCAAGTACTTGGGCCCCTGCACCCACGTAGGAAACCTGGATGAAGCTCCTAGTTCCTGGCTTTGGCCTGGCCCAGCACCAGTTGTTGCAGCCATTGGGAGTGAACCAGCGGATGGAAGACCTCTCTCTCTGCTTCTCCCTCTTTGTAGCTCTTTCAAATAAATAAATACATTTAAAAAATAAGTGAATGATAAACAGTATTACTGGGATACATGGAAGTATAACATCTAGTGTTCTACTTCCCAAACACTAGAGTAAAAAAACATAAAGCGTAATAAACACAACTGGACTTTTCATAGAAAACTTCAAAATCAGGGCCGGTGCTGTGGCATAGAGGGTACAGCCACCACCTGCAGTGCTGGCATCCCATATGGGCACCAGTTCAAGTCCCGGCTGCTCCACTTCCGATCCAGCTTTCTACTATGGCTTGGGAAAGCAGTGGAAGATGGCCCCAGTCCTTGGACTCCTGCACCCACGTGGTAAACCCGGAAGAAGCTTCTGGCTTCAGATCAGCATAGTTTTGGCCATTGTGGCCATCTGGGGAGTGAAACAGCTGAAGGAAGACCTCTGTCTCTCTCTGCCTCTCTGTAACTCTGCCTTCCAAATAAATAAATAAATCTTAAAAAAAAAAAAAAAGAGTAGCAGTGTCAGCCATAGCAATTAAGAAAAAAAAGAAAAACTTTAAAATCTCCTAATCTTTGTGTGCACATTCAAAAGAAGACCCTTACAAGAAAGACATATAATTCTCCCTAACTTAATCTTCCCATGTGATAAGGATCTCGCTCCCTTTTTTTTTTTTTTTTAATATTTTATTTTATTTGAGAGGTAGAGACATTAATGTCTTCCTTCCGTTGGTTCACCCCCCAGGTGGCTGCAACGGCTGGAGCTGCACCGATCCAAGGCCAGGAGCCAGGAGATTCTTCCAGGTCTCCCACGTGGGTGCAGGTGCCCAAGGACTTTGGCCATCTTCCACTGCTCTCCCAGCCCATAGCAGAGAACTGCATTGGAAAAGGAGCAGCTGGGACTAGAACTGGTGCCTATATGGGATGCCGGCGCCATGGCGCCGGCCCTCCTTGTCTTTTTCTTAAAGATCTACTTATTTATTTGAAAAGCAGTTAGAGAGAGATAGGAAGAAATAGAGATTTTCCATCTACTGGTTCACTGTCCAATTTGCCACAACAGCCAGAGCTGGGCCAGGCAGAAGCCAGGAACCTTTAATTCCATCTGGGTCTCCCACATGAGCAGCAGAGGTCCAAATAATTAGCCCTAGGATCCTCTGCTTTTCTGGGAACATTAGCATGGAGCTGTATCAAAAGCAGAACAGTTGGGACCCTAACCTGAGCTCATGCGATGCCAGTGTCACAAGTGGTGGCTTAACACTCTCTGCCACAACAATGGCCCTGAGGTTGCCATTGTTGCCATCAGACTGAAGGAACCCAAGCTCACAGACCCAAAGGACACCACTGATAACGCACTGGCAGGGTTTCTCCACAGCAGCATCACTGTCGCTTCGGACCACATCACTATCACTGCAGGGCCTCCCTGTCCACATTCATGTGCTCTGCAGCGTTGCCACCCAATTTGACAATCAAAATTGTATCCAGACACTGTCAATGTCCCTGGGAGTGGGGGCACACTGCACTGTCCCTAGTTAAGAACCATTGGCCTTTTTAAAAAAAATTCACAGGTTACAGAATTCTAGTATGAACAACATTTTAAATTTTCCCCCCAAATATTGTTAATTTACTAGCACTATACTTTGTGGGAAAGAACAAGAACACCCAGCCAAAATCACAGCTTAAAATATATTGTTCAAAAAGTTTTGCTGCAGAAAACTCTACCCAGGTTGTCCAAGGAAGTTTCAAGGTCTTGTCCATCTTTGAAATACCTCTCTGTTTCATTTCCTCAGGAATTAACACATATAACTATGTAATGAGCCAGTGTATTTTTATTGGTATATCTGAGATCATGTGTGTAAATCTCATGTCAATTTTTACATGTGTAATGGACTAACAGTGATTTCTCTAGTAGAGATTTGCCAAAACCCTACAATGATAAATTTTGTGTTAAGTTGGTAAACAAACTACAAGATCTAATTTCCACAAAATCTTGCTTTTGCTTACCTTGATAAGGTATCTGGTAATATCCCTCCCAGCAATATCCAGTCTCCTCGTGAGGTGAGGGAGAGAAAACCCTTCATACACTGGGCAAATGTGAGTTACACCATCTCCAGAGTCCACCACCACACCAGTCAGTAAACCTGCAGGAACCAGGGGGTTTTAAATAAAGGTAAGTCAGAAAAAAACAGTTTCAAATATGGAACTGAGGCCAAACTAGAAACTTAACCCACTGTCAAGGCCTAGAAGCCAGTGTTTTATTTTTTATTTTGCAGTTTGTTTCTAAAACATAGATACAAAGTAAGTATTCTCTCCTGTCTCTGAAGAGACCTCTAGTCTAATCACTTCCTACTAAAGGATGGAAATGGGGACATACATAGGACTGAAAAATAAACAGGTTTTTAAAGCTTAGTGCAATCCTTTTTCTCTCCAACTTAATTCTGATCAATGACTTCCCTTAAAATGAAATTTTCTAAAGCAACATAGATAACTTTTATGAAAACCACTGTGCAAAGTGAATGCTACACAAAGGTACAAAGGTGTAAAGTGCATTTGTTGAAATCACCTAGTTCCTTTTTTTTTTTTTTTTTTTGGTCACTGATATATTTAAAACTATTGCTTTGGGAAAATGCCTATTGATACTAGATAATTAGAAATCTGACAACAATCTTAGCTAGGCAAAGCATCACTTCAATTATTTATGGGAAGCCAGAAAAGCAACATCAGTTAAATCTCATAATAAAAAACAACAAAAAGGTGGCAGTGTTTCCTAAATGCGCTTTTTAAAGGTAAAAACGGCTACAAAAAGTTGGTGTTTTATCTTTCGTACCATGGTTAATTCAAAAGGAAGAAAATTTTTTCTAATGCACATTTTAATAGAAAAAATTCTTCAAATTAGAATATGCATTACTCATAACAGTATTTTCCCCTTCTGTTTCTCAATACAAATTTGCATGCACTGTGATATTTAACTATAATGGCTTTATTTTATCCAAATCATCTCCTTTTCAGGTTGATACAATTGGACTTTCCTTGAATGATGATATAAACTTTGTAAAACACATGTACTATCTTCTAATGCTATAGTCTTCTAAAAAAGATTTTCCAGGCCAGTGCTATGGCGTAGTGGGTAAAGCCACTGCCTGCAATGCTGGCATCCCATATTGGCGCCGGTTTAAGTCCTGGCTGCTCCACTTTAGATCCAGCTCTTTGCTGTGGCCTGAGAAAGCAGTGGAAGATGGCCCAAGTCCTTGGGCCCCTACACCCATGTGGGAGACCCAGAGGAGGCTCCTGGCTCTCGACGGGCCCAGCTCCAGCCACTGCGGCTATCTGGGGAGTGAGCCAGCGGATGGAAGACCTCTCTCTTTACCTCTCTGTAACTCTTTTTTAAATAAATAAATAAATCTTAAAAAAAATTTTCAATTGACAAAAAAAAATTTCTACCATTCCTAATTCAGAAATACTTCCAGTAACGTCAACTAAAGCATTTACAATTTACTTCCCAAAAAGCACTAGCTCCCAATCTCAACCCATTTTCTTTTTTTTTTTTTTTTCTTTTTTGGACAGGCAGAGTTAGACAGTGAGAGACAGAGGGAAAGGTCTTCCTTCCGTTGGTTCACCCCCCCATGGCCACCACGGCTGGAACGCTGCGCAGATCCGAAGCCAGGAGCCAGGAGCTTCCTCCTTGTCTCCTATGTGGGTGCAGGGCCCAAGGACATGGGCATCGTCCCCTGCCTTCCCGGGCCACAGCAGAGAGCTGGACTGGAAGAGGAGCAACCGGGACAGAACCGGTGCCCCAACCGGGACTAGAACCTGGGGTGCCAGTGCCACAGGCGGAGGATTAGCCTAGTGAGCCGCGGCACTGGCCTCTCACCTCATTTTCTACCAATCCTTATTCTCTATTATTCATGTACTGGCCTTTCCCTGAACACACTTGATTCACTTTCACAGACATATCCTTTTGTCACTGAATTATCCTTTCTTTCCATTATAATTCCTATCAGCTATTAGATGCTCAAATTCTTATCATTTCTTCTTGCTTTTGATTTAAACAGGCAGAGAGCAAGCGTGAGGGAGACAGAGTTCCCATTGGCTGGGAGCCTCAAACTCAATCCAGATATCCCATGTAGAGTAGGCACTTAATCACTTAACCATTACCTATTTCGTCCCAGGGTATGCACTGGCAGGAAACTGGAATCAGGAGCAAATGTGGGACTTGAACCCAGGCATTCTGACATGGGGCTGTAGGCGTTCCAAGTGACATTATTAACTTTAGCTGAGTCAAATGCCTGCCTGCATGTTCTTCATTTATGTCACCCCTGACCACTCAAGCATTCCGTAATTCTAGTTATTCCCCTCAGTTGTGTATCATGCAGTGAAACATTTTCTCAAATCACCATGTCGGTTTTTTATTCAGAAATCTTCCTTTGGGGCTAGCACTGTGGTAAAATGGGTTAAGCCATCTCCTGCAGCAACAGTATCCCATGTGAGCACCAGTTCAAGTCCTGGCTACTCCACTTCTGATCCAACTCCCTGATAATGTATCTGGGAAAGCAGTGGAAGATGGCCCAAGTACTTGGGCTCCTACAGCTACCTGGGAAACCTGGAAGAAGCTCCTCGCTTCAGCCTGGCCCCAGCCCAGCTCTTGTTGCCATTAGGGGAGCAAATCAGCAGATGGAAGAAATTTCCCTCACTCTGTAACTCTGCCTTTCAAATAAATCAATCTTTAAAAAAAAAAAAAAAATTCTCCTCTGGTTTGTATGTTAGACCCAGCAGTTGTAACACTCGTGCCTTAGATGAGAGTTTGCAGGTTTGATACCTGGCTTAGCTTCTGACTTCAGCTTCCTGCTAATGCAGACTTTAGGAGGCAGCAATAATGATTCAAATACTGGATTCTTGCTACCCTTTTGGGAGACCTGCCTAGAATTCCTGCCTCCCAGTTTCAGCCTAGCTCAGTCCCACTGTAGGCATCCGAGAAGTGAATCAGCAGATGGCAGCTTATCTCTCTGCCTCTCAAATACGTAAAATAAATCAAAAACCCAAAAATCTTCTATAGCAAAAATGTTTCTTTTATGTCTACATTTTTATTGGCAGCACCTTATTTAGAAAGAGAATTTCACTATGGCCTGGTTAATGTTATTGGAATAGTATTTCTCAAAGTGTTCACTAGTTAAATGAAAACGAGTGAGTATCAGCAATTAAGAAAAGACATCGGGACCGGCGCTGTGGCGTAGTGGGTAAGACAGCCACCTGTAGTGCCAGCATCCCATATGGGCACTGGTTCAAGATCCAGTTGCTCCACTTCCGATCCAGCTTTCTGCTATGGCCTGAGAAAGCAGTAGGAGATGGCCCAAGTCCATGGGCCCCTGCACCTGTGTGGGAGACCCAGAAGAAGCTCCTGGCTCCTGGCTTCAGATCAGCACAGCTCCAGTAGGTGAGGCCATCCAGGGAGTGAACCAGTGGATGGAAGACCTCTCTCTCTCTCTGCCTCTCCTTCCCTCTCTGTGTAACTCTGACTTTCAAATAAATGAATCAATCTTAAAAAAAAAAAAGAAGAAATGAAATCTTTGGGGCCCAAGGGCTTGAGCCATCTTCTATACTGCTTTCCCAGGCCATAACAGAACTAGACCGGAAGTGGAGCAGCCAGGAATCAAACCGGTGTCCATACGCGCTGCCAGCACTGCACCTGGCAGCTTTACCAGCTATGCTACAGCGCCGGCCCCAAAAGTTACTTTTATAAAAATAAAACTACCTAGATAAAGACAAGCACGTTCTAACCTTGAGTGATTTTCAATTCCTTTTTCAAAGGAAAAACTGTAACTGGACTATGATCGCCTTAAGGATAAGAAACTATACCTATCTTACTGTTACATCCTCTGTACTAAACAGAGTGCAAGGCACATATTGGTGAGGAGCCGGTGCTGTGGCATAGCAGGTAAAGCCGCCGCCTACAGTGCCAGCATCCCATATGGTTGCCTGTTCGAGTCCCAGCTCTTCCACTTCTTATCCAACTCTCTGTCACGGCCTGGGAAAGCAGTAGAAGATGGCTCAAGCCCTTGGGCCCCTGCACCCACGTGGGAGACCTGGAAGAAGCTCCTGGCTCCTGACTTTGCATGGGCACAGTTCCGGCCGTTGCAGCCAATTGGGGAGTGAAACAGTGGATGGAAGACCTACCTCTCTCTCTCTCTCTCTCTCTCTCTGCGTAACTCTGACTTTCAAAATAAATACATACATCTTTAAAAAAAAATTTGGTGAAAGAAAAAAGTTTCTCTAGAAATTTAAATCCCCCAAGTAAATAGTTTCTTCTACGCATCCATATACAGTATCTAGTATGTTTTAATCCAATATGAGGGGTAGGCACTGTGGTGCTGCAGGTGAAATCACCATTTGGGATGCTCACATCCCTTATCAGAGTTGCCAGTTCAAGTCATGGCTACTGTGGGAAAAGCAGAAGACGACCCAAAGTATTTGGGTTCCTGCCATCTCCACAGGAGACTTGATAAAGTTCTTGGCTCCTGGCTTCGGCTTGGCCCAGCCCTTGCCATCATAGCCATTTGGGGAGTGAACCAGTGGATAGAAGATCTGCCTCTCCTTCTAAGATCTCTCTGTAACACTTTCAAATAAATAAATCAATAAATCTTCAAAAAAAATACCAAACGACTCACCTACCTTGAGCATATAAAGTCAGAACTGCCTGGATGGCTACATACACACCAGAAAATTGGTAAGTTTCGAACATTACCTGGAAATGCAGAGAGAAAAGTTATTTAATAATATGAAATATGCTTTCGTCATGGTCACAGAGTAGATTAGCTGCTGAGAAGAGAATGAAAGGGATTTGAAAGAGTTCTCCATTCTCATTAGTTCCTATAGCTTGTATTGCGTTCTTGCTGTCACAGAACTCTAATTCTGAGGACGGATTTTTGGACACAGACTGCCCCCAAGTATTTCATAAGGGCTACAGAGCAAAGATTTCTGAGTTGTTAGTTAACAGCTAATTAATGTTAAAGAAAGTACTCTACATTTGAACAAGTTTCTTAACTCATGTCCCTTAAAAGGAGGAATCTTTTAATGCGAAGAAATAACTTTTGAGCCTCCCACTTCTTCCCCTCAATTTGGGCCAAGAATGTGGCTCTTATCCTAGCAGTTAAAACAAAAAGGTAAGGGCCCGTGCTCTGGCATAGTGGGTAAAGCTGCTGCCTGCAGTGCTGGCTTCCCATATGGGTGCCAATTTGAGTCCTGGCTGCTCCCTTCCAATCCAGCTCTCTGCTATGGGCTGGGAAAGAAGAAGATGGCCCAAGTCCTTGGGCCCTTGAACCCAAGTGGGAGACCTAGAGAGGGCTCCTAGCTCCTGGCTTCAGATCGGCGCAGCTCCGGCCGTTGCAGCCATCTAGGATGGAAGATCGATCTCTCTGCCTTTCCTTTTCTGTTTAACTCTTTCAAATAAATAAATTAGCAAACATAGGAAAAATAAAAGAAAGGAAAAAAAAAAAAAAAAAAAAAACCAAAAAGGTAAAACAGGAAGGCAAAGACAAAATTAATGAGTTAGCTCCTGAGTCTACAATATCTACTACATGCAACCAAGCTATAACTCCACCCCACAATGGACTACATTCAAGGGAGGAAAAGCTTCTTTTATGTCTTCTGTTTATACCTATGCTCATTCTCGATGGCCTAGGTGAGCAAGAACATTCTGACTGATTTTTTTGGATCAATTATAGTAGTCCTTGACTGGTAGAGCTATCTGAATTTTAGTTTAGGTGTTTAGAAATTTTATAATTGGGGGCTGGTGCTTTGGCGTATCAGGTAAAGCTGCTGCTTGTAGTGCCAGCATCCCATATGGGCACTGGTTCAAGACCTGGCTGCTCCACTTCTGATCCAGCTCTCTGCTATGGCCTGGGAAGGCAGTAGAAGATAGCCCAAGTGCTTGGGCCCCTGCACCCAAGTGGGAGACCTGGAAGAAGCTCCTGGCTCCTGGCTTTGGATCAGCACAGCTCCAGCCATTGCAGCCAACAGGGGAGTGACAGCAGATGGAAGACCTTTCTCTCTCTCTCTCTCCTCTCTCTGTGTAACTCAGACTTTCAAATAAACAAATCTTTTTTTAAAAAATACATTTTATAATTGACCACAATGGGAATTATACAGAATGAAGATTTTACAACTCTGAAACATACACATGCCCATCAACTAAGCAGACAGATATTCTGACTGGTATTCGATTCCATCATCCTTTGTAGTGGTATACATCCTAGTATAGTGGTATCATGCAAAATTCCCACATACCACCTTGAAAGCCTGTTAGAATTTGGTTTTGTTTGTGAGACCACTAAAAAGTATTACTAAAACAATTTTCTGGATGAGATTAAGTAAGACATTATCAGTCACAGCAAGTTTTATATCATAGACAAATAAGAACATTAAAATATGAACCATAAAGAATGATATGTCTAGGGGCTGGCGTTGTGGCAGACTGGGTAAAGCCACCACCTGCAATGCTGGCATCCCATATGGATGGTTGCTCCACTTCTGATCCGGCTCCCTGCTAGTGGCCTAGGAAAGACATCGGGCCAGTGCCGTGGCTCACTAGGCTAATCCTCTGCCTGCGGCGCCGGCACACCGGGTTCTAGTCCCAGTTGGGGAAATGGATTCTGTCCCAGGAGTGCAGTGGAGGATGGCCCAAGTCGTTGGGCTCTGCACCTGCATGGGAGACCAGGAGAAGCACCTGGCTCCTGGCTTCGGATCAGCACGGTGCACCGGCCTCAGCTCGCCTGTCGCAGCGGCCACTTGGGGGTGAACCAACAGAAAAAAGGAAGAGCTTTCTCTCTGTCTCTCACTGTCCACTCTGCTGTCCAAAAAAAAAAAAAAAAAAAAGGCATCGGAAGGTGGGTTACGTGTTTGGGCCCTTGCTACCCATGTGGGAGACCCAGATAAAGCTCTGACTCCTGGCTTTGGCTTCAGTTCTAGTCATTGCGGCCATCTGTGTAGTGAGCCAGCAGATAGATCTCTCTCGGGGCCAGCAAAATGGCATAGCAGGTTAAGCCTCTGCTTGTAGTGCTGGCATCCCTAGTCCTGGCTGCTCTGCTTCCAATCCAGCTCCCTGCTAATGGCCTGGAAAGGCAATAAAAGATGGCCCAAGTGCACTGCAAGCGACAGCTTTACCCGCTATGCCATAGCGCAGGCCCCTAATTCAGACTTTTAAAAAGGGTGGGCTTGGGGCCGGCACTGTAGCACAGCGGGTTAAAGCCCTGGCTGAAGCACTGGCATCCCATATGGGTGCCGGTTCTAGTCCCAGCTGCTCCTCTTCTGATCCAGCTCTCTGCTATGGCCTGGGAAAGCAGCAGAAGATGACCCAAGTCCTTGGGTCCCTGCACCCACGTGGGAGACCAGGAAGAAGCTCCTGGCTTCAGATTGGAGCAGCTCTGGCCGTTGGGGCCATCTGGGGAGTGAACCTTCGGATGGAAGACCTCTCTCTAATAAATAAAATACATCTTAAAAAAAAAAAAGAAAAGGGTGGGCCTTGTCCTAGTGGTTAAACACTACTTAGGATCCTGCCACCCATATGGGAAAGCTGGATTGAGTTTCTTTTTTTTTTTTTAAAGCTTTATTTTATTTGGAAGGCAGAGTTACAGAGAGAGAGACAGAGAAAGAGAGGGAGGGGGGGAGAGAGAGAGAGAAGGAGAGGGAGAGGGAGAGGGAGAGGGAGAGAGGGAGAGGGAGAGAGGGAGAGAGGGAGAGAGGGAGAGAGGGAGAGAGGGAGAGAAGGAGGGAGGGAGGGAGAGAGGGAGGGGGGGGGGAGAGAGAGAGACTTCCATCTACTGATTCACAACGCTAATGTCCGCAATGGCCAGAGCTGGGCTGATGGGAGTTGGTAGCCAGGAGCTTCTTCCAGGTCTTCCACACAGGTGCAGGGGTCCAAGCACCTGGGCCATCTTCCAATGCTTTCCCAGCCCATAGCAGAGAGCTGGATCAAAAGTGGAGCAGCCAAGACTTGAACCAGCACTCATATAGTATGCCAGCACCCCAGGCAGCAGCTCTACCCGTTGTACCACAGCGCCAGCCCTGGGTTGAGTTTCCAGATCCCAGCTGTTCTGCATATTTAAGTGAACCAGAACAGGACAGTTCTTTCTTGCTGTCTCTCAAATGAAAAAATAAAAAAACAAAAAAAGAATTCTTTTAAACTCTCTCTAAAATATCCATCACCTAAATATATTCATAGAGCAAATCAAAATACATTAATAACTCAGAAGCTACTGAAAAGTTCCTACCTTGCACATCATAAAATCAAAGAGAACCCTGAAAAATGTCTTATTTGAACTCTTGAGGAATGTAGCCCTCTTGCTCGTTCTCTCCTCTGACACTGCTGACCTCATGAGCTTTTCAATCTCCTTCTGCAGGCTTCATTATCTCTCGGGTCCTTGGCCTTTTCACCACTCTCTCTCTTCTTTGGTGAACAGCATCATCTATACCCTGATGACTCTCTAACCCCTTGGCTTTTCTCTTGATTTCTTACATCTGAGACATTTCTGCTTGGCTTCTAATGATGATCTCAAACTTACTGTCTACAACTGAATTCAAATCTTGTCCTGTTTTCCTCCTCCTTCAGCTGATGGTAATTCCATCCTCCATTTTGAGTCATCTCTGACTCCTCTTCCCTCTGTGCAACGACCACCAATATTTAGTGCACTAGAAAATTCTTTGGCCCTACCTTCAAAACAGACCCACAATTTGGTCACTTCTCATTACTTCTGCTACTATTACTAGCTCTAATCCTAACCATCATTATCTTTAGCCTAAATAATTGAAAAAAAAAAAAAATCTCCAAATGGGTATCTTTTCCACTTTTACCTCCCTATGGTATCCTCACAACACGGCAGCCAGAGAAATCTAAATCTGAATATTTCCCTTCCTTGTAATCATTTCTCATTTCACATGGAATAAAAGCCCAGTTTCCTGAAAGAGCATACAATGCCCTAATGTTCCTGACCCATTCTCATCGTCTGGTGCCGTCATGCCCTCCAGGCATGCTGTCTTCCTTGTATATTCTCTAATATTCAAGCCTTGTTTCCACTTTAGGATCTTTACTCTGGCTACCCTCTTTACTCAGAATGTTCTTCTCCTAAATATCTGGCTAGCTCTGTTACTTACCCTATCTTTGTTTAATCAACACTTTCTGAGAGGCCTATCACTATAATCAACTATAATCACTATACAACTGCCACCTTCCACTCTTTAACCAGCTCTATTTTTTTCCCCTATAGCATCTACTACCTTTGAGCAAACAATTTAACTTAAAAGGGTAGGTATTTGGTCTAAAGGTTATTTTAATTTACTTTTATTTAAAAATTTTGAATGGCAGACAGAGATCTTCCATTCACTGGTTTATCCCCCAAATGCCTACTAACAGCCAGGACTGGACGAGCCCAAAGCCAGGAGCCCAGAACTCAATCCAGGTCTCCCACATGGACGGCAGGGAGTCAAGTATTTGAGTCATCACCTGTTAACTCCCAGAGTGCACATTAGCAGGAAGCTGGATCAAAGGGTGGCAGTTGGAACCCCAACTACTCTGCTTCAGATCCACTTTCCTGCTAATGCACCTGGGAAGGCAACGCAAAAAGGCACATGTACTTGGGTCCCTGCCACCTGTGTAGGAGCCCAGAATGGAGGTTCTGCCTCCAGCCTGGCCCAGTCTTGATCCTGGTTGTTGTGGGCATTTGGGGAGCTATTCAGTGAATGGGAGATCTCTTTTTCACTGTCACTCTTTCAAACAAATAAATAAATCTTAAAAAATGCAGTAGCAGCAGTAGTAATGGTGGCACTGCAGCTCAAACCAAGTACTCCAGTATGGGATGCAGGTGTTCCAAGCAGCAACTTAACCACTTCACCAAACACATGTCCACCCTAGTCTAACAACTGAGGGGAGTGAACTGGTGGATGGGAGATTTGTCTCTGCCAAATAATGTATTAATTAATTAATTAGCCTATTTTGGGGGGCCCACTTTCTCCCTAAACTCTGTGTCAGCAGGACTTTATTTTGTCGGCTAATATACTCTACTTAGAAAAATGTCTAGCTGGGGCAGACGCTGTGGCATAGCGGGTAAAGCCACCACCTGCAGTGCCGGCATCCCATTTGGGTGCTGGTTCATGTCCCGGCTGCTCCACTTCCAATCTAGCTCTCTGCTATGGCCTGGGAAAGCAGTAGAAGATGGCCCAAGACTTTGGGCCCATGCATCCACATGGGAGACCTGGAAGAAGCTCCTGACTCCTGGCTTCAGATTGGCACAACTCTTGCCATTGCAGCCATCTGGGGAGTGAACCAGCGGATGGAAGACCTCTCTTCCTCCTTCTGCCTCTCCCTCTCTCTCTGTGTAACTCTGACTTTCAAATAAATAAATCTCTGAAAAAAAAATAATAATGACTAGCATATATAGGTTGAATATCCTTTACCCAAAACGCTTAGGATCAACATGCTTCAGTTTTTGGAGTTCTCCACATTTTGGAATATTTGATACTTTACCATTTGAGAATTCTTTTTAAGATTTATTTTATTTCTCCGGCAACAGCAGAAGCTGCGCCAATCTGAAGCCAGGAGCCACGTGGGTACAGGGGCCCAAGGACTTGGGCCATCTTCTACTGTTTTCCCAGGCCGTAGCAGACAGCTGGATCAGAAGAGGAGCAGCCGGGACTAGAACCTGCGCCCATATGGGATGCCAGCGCTTCAGGCCAAGGTGTTAACTCGCTGCGCCACAGCGCTGCCCCCAAAATTTGAGAATTCTTAAACCAAAATCTGAAATGCTTCAAAACCTGAAACTTCTTGAGTGTCACAGTTAGGTAGGAAGTTAGAAATTAAAAATTAGAAGTTAGAAATGTGTGTGAGAAGGGTCTGAGAGGGAAGCAATAGCATCTGCAAAAGCTCACGTTGGAAGCAGCCCAGGTGGTCTCAACCCTTTCCCCAAGGGGAGCCCCCCAGGACACTCCTCTCTCCTTAGCACCAAATGGGTTACCTGGCCTGATAACATGGAGCAATAAAACCTTCACAGCCTTCCTCCAAGGCAGGCATGCTAGAGGAAGCTCCCCTGCCAGGTGGGCTCCCCAGTCTGATAGCACTGAGTAGTAAACCCTTGGGAGGAATTTTCTTTGTCCTGGAGGGGAAAGAAAAATGGCAGGAGAACTGGACCCTCTCCCTTATAAGCGGCAGTCTGAATACAGTCTGCGCACTCAGCACTCAGCTCTCTGCTGAGCCGCCCGTCTGTCTTGCCAGGTGTGTTCTCTCCATTGAACCCTGCAACCTTGCTTTCCCCAGCCTGGGTGACTAGGCACCCTCTCTCTCTTTCCCACGCTCTACCCCAATAAAACCTTGCTACTTTGCTATCCACTGCTCTCTGTCTCATGCCTGAATTCTTGCTTGAAGACAAGAACCCTACTACTCATCGCCAATAACATCACAATAGTACTCAGTAACTAGACTAGCAAGTGCTCAATAAACAGGATCTAGGGGAAAAAAAATTAACGTTTCCTTTACAGGGGTGGGGAACATCTGGTCTGCCTGGCCCTAACAAGGCAACTGCAGGTGGGACTTGAAACTGAATAAATCTATAGCAGGCTAATTTTTAAGTTGACAATTTTATATGGCCTACAAATGATGTTATAAATATCTGAATGGCCCTTGGCAGAAAAAAAGATTTACCACCCCTATGACAACAATGGTAAGACAAAAGGTAAGACTTTTTATTTACCATTATATCAAAGAAACACATTTGCATATCCCATCTAAAAACTTACCTCTACAATCTTTTCTCTGTTTTTGGTTGGGTTCATAGGAGGTTCTGTAAGTAAGATTTTACAATTTCTGGTATCTATGTTAAGTTTCTCTGGTCCAAATGTATAGTCCCACAGATGTTTCATGTCATCCCAATTCCGTACTATGCCATTTTCCATAGGATAGTTAACTTCTAACATTGAGCGTAATTCACTTGCCTCATCACCAACCATTAGATCCTAGAAAATTACAATTGCAAAGCTTTAGACCATTCAAATTTTTGCACAAAAATAGCTTCAGAAAAGTATATTCCCATGAAATTTCAGAAAACTTTGGAATAATTAATTTTAATCTTTCTGACACTTTTATGTAAAGTTTTTTATTCCACAAATAAAATTGTTTTTCTTTTCAAAACAAGATCTTGCAAAGTTCAATCATGGGTAATAAATCTTTATGTACAATGTGGTTTAAATCAATAAATTGACCTTACCTTTAATACACATGTTTCCAAAAGAAGATAATTAGCACAAATAAACCCCACATTTTCATATTTTGAAGGGTTTTGTATGAGGTTTCATCTGTTTCTTTTGCTCAAATGTTCAAAAAATAAGGCCTGTGATATGTGAAATAGCACATCAGGGAAAAAAAAAACCTTGTAGAAAAATGCTCAATGCATGCAGTACATTTCTTTGTACTAAAGATCAGAATGATAAATGTAAGTAATATAAAGCATAATGAAGGATGCAAAAGATGATTATTTCTCTGTAGTAATGAACATATGAATTAATCAACTGTAAATTCCACAAACTTCTATCTACATGTGCCTCACTAGTATGAATGAGAATTTTCAGAGAAACAAAAAATTAGAAAGAAGTTTAAAATTATCTCATGAGCAACATTTTCAATCTTAAAATGTGATACTGGAAAACAATGCCATCATACATGAAGCTTAATACTCACAAGTCTTGTCTCCCTCCAATGAGAGCATACTTAAGATGACCCACATTTGAAAAGTCAAACTTTGCAAGTATAGTAAAGCTACTGAAGTTCTAGAATTCAAAGTTATTTCAAAACCAACTAGTCAAGATGTTAAATATTAGTTCCTACCTGTGCTGATAAATTCAATTTCTAAAAAAAAAAAAAATAAAAAATCCTAACATCAGAAATGGCTACTATTTGCTATAGTACTTTTAAGTTCAAATTATGGGGAAATGAAGAAAAGCAATGACTACATTAATATGAAATGTCTTATAATGGAAGTTAGAAAAACATGAGTTTTAAACATAAAAAAATTTAAAATTAAAAAACCAGAGGTAAAACCTATGTAAGGTCTCTATTAACAATCAGATTTCTGGAAAATCCACTGAAAGCAATAGCCCGAAGAAAAAACAAAATTAAAGTAGGTTTTAGAAATGTTCACTAAAACTTTATGCTCTAATTCCTTATAAAATTGATTTACTAATTATTCAAATGTCTTAAATATCATCTGTTTGTAATCTTCTGTGAAAAAAACAGAAAACTAAAAACATGTGAATTCACAAATACATGTGAATTCTGGATAGTGACATACATACACTGAAATATTCAGAGATGGTAACTGATATTTGCAACTTACTTTAAAATACATAAAAAAAAAAACAAGATGGACTGATGGATAGACAAATGAGCAGAAACATGATAAATCAGCACAACATTTAAAAATGTCAGGATTGAGGTGATAGGTATATAGGTTTTTACTGTAAAATTTTTTCAGCATCACTGCACATTCTAAATACTGCTTAGTAAAATGCTGGGAGAATCTATACCTATAAGTACATATACTACTTTTAGATAGTAACATGTTAATTTAATACCCAATTTGTTATACCTTCTTTCCTCCTATATTTCTTTGTGTTACACAAGGTAAGCTATTAAATGGTTTAAAGTAATGAGTACTATCTCAACTAAATTAGATTAAGTGTGATCTATTTTCAACAGAGTATTTACTTTAAACTCCACAAAAAAAATAGGGGCTTATGTCTGACTCAATGCCACTTCAAAATAAAAGCCTTGTATATCTTACTTCTTGGACCACACATACTATAAAGGATTAACTGAAAAGAATGTTGTCTGCCATGAAGTATCCTTAGTTCCCCAGAACAAAGGGGACATTTAAAGTAGAAGAAAATAAGTATTTGGGAAGTGCAAAACTTCTTGCGTATCTGTACCTGAAATTTTGATTTAAAAATCCTAGAACACATAAATCTTCCCTAGAACACTTCAACTTTTCAAAGTCAAAAATGCTAAGAGGCTGGCGCTGCGGCTCAATAGGCTAATCTTCCACCTTGCAGCGCCGGCACACCGGGTTCTAGTCCCGGTCGGGGCACCAGATTCTGTCTCAGTTGCCCCTCTTCCAGGCCAGCTCTCTGCTGTGGCCCAGGAGTGCAGTGGAGGATGGCCCAAGTGCTTGGGCCCTGCACCCCATGGGAGACCAGGATAAGTACCTGGCTCCTGGCTTCGGATCAGCGCAGTACGCCGGCCGCAGCGGCCATTGGAGGGTGAACCAACGGCAAAGGAAGACCTTTCTCTCTCTCTCTCTCTCTCTCCCTGTCCACTCTGCCTGTCACGAGCAGCAGGTGAAAATGAAAAAAAGTTAAGAGTCAGGTTAACTTGCCCTCACCTCTCAGAACCAAAGTTATAACAATCAGATCAGGCCTTGGGTTTTTATCACGTGCCTCACACTGGACTTCAAATCTGAACCATCAACTATAACCTAAAGAATGAAAAACTGCAGTAACTGAGATACTGTTTCAAAGGCATTTATGCTCTACTAAAAGCTGGCAGTGTAGACTGTATTTGCCCACCATCATTTTGTTTGTCACCTTTAATTAGAAAATAGAGCAAACAAATTTAAAACCACAATTATATCCCTTGAAGGAAATTCCATGAAAAGTACTGTGTTAAATTAAGCCTACACTATTCTCTACAAGTTCAACCTTTTCTTAATCTCCTTAGTACTTTATGACAAATGCATAGTCTCTTATGTAAGATAAATACAGCAATTCCACTTTTAAATGCTTTCGTTTACTCAGAAGGAAACTTCAGTTACTGTTACTAGGTAAAATACATCCTACCACTAGAAATGTCTGATATTCTTGTCAAAACTGCTTACAAACAACAAAAATGAACTTGAAACTACTTGCTATTTAGAAGCACTTAGATTATCACTGAAAAATGTAATAACAGAGCCAAATGTCTGGGATGACCCCAGCAAGCTTCTGGCTGAAAGCAAAGACACCACACAACAGTATTTATCTTGGGAGAAAATCTACCATTCACGAAAAAGCCTCACAAGTGCTTTACCTTTTTGTTATTTATCCTCAGATAACGTGGTCAAACATATTCCTTAGAAAGAATGACATGGGAAATAATTCTTCTATTCCTTTTCCCATCTGTGGTTCATTTGTATATCCTAATTTGACTCAGTTTATTCAGTTCATACATGATATCACGAAGAATGCAAATATATATATATACACAGACAATGACAGACAATGTTTAATTTAACATCGGTCAGTAAAGTGGACTTATCCAAATGTAACATGTGTGACTCCAATTTTCTGGATCACATATATCCTACAAAATGCCACTTGGTTTCTAATATTATGCACACCACATTCCATTTTAATTATAACATTTATCTACAAGAAAAACAAGGAAAACAATTCAAATCTATGTTAGTAATTAGTTCTTGTTTGGTCCATTGTATGCAATCAGGAAAGCATACGACTTTATTAGTTGCTACCAAATCGAAGCAATGGAAAAGGTTAAAAATCAAAGCACTTAAAATAAAATTATGGAATTACCCCCCCTCCCCATTACTAAAGGGACACAAAACAACAACTACTGTCCCATCAAGCAAAAGTGGAAAACAAACAGAGCATGTGTGTAACCTCACTTACCATCTTTTTGTTATTCTACTTCAACGGGTCAAGAAAGGTGAAGAGAGAGAAGGTAGAAGTAAGAGTCAGAAAAGGCCTAAATAAAATCCTCACTGAAATTTTTAAACATACAAGCAATAGAGACAAATTAGGTTGAGGTCAGATGCAGTACTACTGTATTTTATGGAGTTAATAATTAGGGCCAAATTAACATGGACAGTTATTACTCGTGAACAAAATTTAACTCATTAATTTAAATTTAATTTCCACTTTTTAAGTTTACCATCACATTTTAGCTAGCAAGACATAAAAAGTATTAAGTCAATCCACTAAGCACACGAATTCCAAAAAGTAAAGTTTCTTTAATTTATTACTGAATGTAAGAACTTAAAAGAAAATAAACGTGAACAGCAAAAGTCTAGATGAGCAATGGAGAGTTAGATAGTTCAGAGTTGTTTTCCCAAGCTCTAGTATTCAGCTTAGATTCAAAGGTCAAGTTCTGCTTTCTACTTGAAGAACAATTTAATTTGAAAGGCTTGAAAGACTGAGCAGAGAGAACAGAACTGAGTCTACGGCACAGAACAACAAATCACACAAGCAAATGCTACTGGTAAATTCTTTGGCAAAAAAGTCTTATTAGATTATTAACTGGTTTGATTTCTATCACTTGCCTTAAAAAGCAAGAAAGTGGAGGGCCGGCACTGTGGCACACATAGCAGGTTAAACTGCAGCTTATAGCTCCAGCATCCTAAATGAGCATGGTTCAAGTCCTGGCCACTCCATTTCCGATGTAGCTTCCTGCTAATTGACCTCGGAAAGCAGTAGAAAACGGCCCAAGTACTCGGGCCCCTGCACCCATGTGGGAGACCCAGAAGGAGTTCCAGACTCCCAGCTTCAGCCTGTCTCAGCCCTTGGCTATTGCAGCCACTGGGGAGTGAACCAGTGGATGGAAGATCCCTCTCTATCTCCCTCTTTCTAACTCTGTCTTTCAAATAAATAAATAAAAGCAAGAATGTGGGAATGAAGAGATGTGTATTTGTGCTTAAATTTATTGCAGAATAAAAATGGCTAAACATGACATATCTTTACATCTCAAAAATCTCATTTTCCATGAAGCAATAAAAAAAGGCATTCTTTTGGGCCAGCATGATGATACAGCAAGTTAAAGACTCGGGCATCTGATAACAGTGTGGGTTTGAGTCCCAGCTACTCCACTTCCAATCCAGCTCCTTGAGAATGCACTGGAGAAGGCAGTGGAAGACAGCCCAAGTACTTGAGTCCCTGCCACTCAGGTGGGAGACCAGGATGAAGTTCCAGGCTCCTGACCTCGGCCTGGCCCAGACTTGGCTGTTGCAGCCATTTGGGGAGAGAACTAGTAGATGGAAGATCTTTCTCCCCATGGTGCTTTCAAATAAATAAATAAATCTTTTTTTTAAAGCTATTCTTTAAAAAGCTTCACACTGAATAAAAAGTATTGCCTTCAACTTCATTAAACAGTAGTTAATTCTCATCATCGCTATTAACTAAATTTCAAGTCATAGTTCATTTAAGATAGAATTCAACCAGAATGAAAGGAGTTCACAAAAAGAGAGCAAGAAATCTCGTAAGTTTCCTAAAAGACAGGACCCTAATAAAAAACATTGAGTATCTCAATTTTTTGGTAACATAACAGAGGCCACAGTCACTATCTTAAATCTTTAAGAAATTAACACAGTATCTAATTTTCAGTAGGTACTGCTCTTCCATTGTGTAACTCAATTCTCTAGTCCCTACTGCAGAGCTACCACATGGCAAATCTCTACTCCTCTCACCACCCTCCTAGCTGACCTAAGAGGTACACCCTAACTCACATTTCAAATAACATATAACCTAATAGCTCACTGAAGTGCTGGAAAAGACTGTCCAGGCAGGACCAGCAATGCCAGCTTATTCACAAGTAAGCCACTGCAACAGCCTTTAAATCTACTGCATTATGTATAACTTGATCCCCAGACCAGATGAACTGAAAGTCAATTGGTGACCACTGTCTTTTTAATGTTCTATTTTTTCTTTCTTCTAAAATAATGTAATTTCTGATCTCTTCAATACAGGGGGAAAACATATCACCCTTAATGTAGAGTCTCTGAAGTTATGTACAATGAGCAACCAATAACACCTTTCCCTTCTTTCTCCTTATGGTAAGAAAAACAATGCAAGGCAAAATAAAGACTAGCACGGTTTTCTCCAGCACATTATAGAACCAATGAGATTTATATCCTGTGTTTTCCTGACTAGTTATATAAAGTCAGGGGATCAAGCCATGAAAACATGGAAAGAAAAAAATCAAAGGTCCCAAAGAGACGCTAACATGTAACAACAAATACATGGAATTGACAGACAAAAATATCAGCCTGATGTCTTTTTAAAAAATATATAATAGAACATTATGTCACTTATACAGTGTTTCACATCAATGTAAAAAATTTAAGTATTTTATTTCACATAATAATGGCACCAAGCCACACATAAACAAAATCAGATTAAATTAACTTCAGGTATTAACATAAATGAAAAATATGGGAAATTCTGCCTTCCCCCTTTGCTTCTCATGGCATTACTTTCAGTAACACTTGATTCAAACAGCTCACAGGTTTTGACAATCACTTGTCAATAAATAAATAAAATATTACCTTGATTTCAATGTTTCCCACTTTGGTGGTTGATCTGATAATAGGTCTTCCAACCAAAGCTGGGAAGATGTGTTCTGGAAAATTAGAGCCTGCATATCCACACTTCACAAACTGGAAGGAAAAAGTAAAAAACTGAGTTAGTGTCAAGGTATATACTATATTCATTTAAAAACAGTATCTGAAAAACACTTGGTGCTTATCCAACATTATAAACTGTTGGTGCTTTCAAATGATCCAAAGCACTCTTACCAAATCATCTACTTTCACAGCACTTACTACTGGAGGTGTTTATTTCCATTAACTGCTTATTTAGTGCCTAATCCCCCCAAGTGGGAAAGCCACACAAGAGCAGGAGCTAAGCTGAACTTGCTGGAGCTTGATGCCTAGTGGTCACTCAAGCGAGATGTGGGGAAAGAACAAATTCATTCAACATGTGCTAAGTACTTTAAAAAAAGAGATATCAGGAAATAAATAGAACTGAAGTTTCAGTTCTAAAGCAGGCTTTCATTCATTTTGGGCAACTGCACTTAAGCAATCTTATTTTCCAAAATGGAAAAAACAAGTGACATGTGAACTAGCATTACAAGAAAATAAACATTAGGCATTTTAGGCAACCTACTTTAAACAAAAATTTATTTATTTACTTACTTATATATTTAGTTATTTATTAAGAGGCAGGCAGAGACAGAACAATCTCCCATCTACTGGTTAACTCATGAAATGCCTGCAATGGCCAGGGCTGGGCCAGGCTGAAGCCAGGAGTCTGGCACTCAATCCAGGTCTCCCAGGTTGGTTGCAGGGACTATCATCTGCTGCCGTCCCAAGAGCATTAGCAGAAAGTTGAATCAAAAGCAAAGGAGCCAGGACTCAAACTGGCACTCTGATAGGGGATGCAGGTGTAACAAGGGCAACTTAACCCACAGCACCACACATCTTCCTCTGTTTATTTTTAAAATCAAGGGGCCGGTGCTGTGGCATAGCGGGTAAAGCCACCATCTGCAGTGACGACTTCCATATGGGCACCGGTTTGAGTCCTGGCTCCTCCACTTCCAATCCAGCTCTCTGCTATAGTTTGGAAAAGCAGTGAAAAATGGCCCAAGTCCTCAAGCTCCTGCACCTGCATGGGAGAACTGAAAGAAGCTCCAAGCTCCTGGCTTCAGATTGGTGCCATTGTGGCCATCTGGGGAGTGAACCAGCAGATGGAAGACCTCTCTGCCTCTCTATACTCTTCCTTTCAAATAAAGAAATAAATGTTAAAAAAAAAAAAAAAAGATCAAATATTGAGGGCTGGTGCTGTGGCATAGCATGTAAAGTCAAGTCGCCACCTGCAGTGCTGGCATCCCATATGGGTGCTAGTTCGAGTGTTGGCTGCTCCACTTCCAATGCAGCTCTCTCCTACAGCCTGGGAAAGCAGTGGAAGATGGTCCAAGTCCTTGGGCCCCTGCACCTGCGTGGGAGATCCAGAAAAATTCCTGGCTCCTGGCTTCGGATTGGCACAACTCTGGCCATTATAGCCATTTGGGGAGTGAACCAGTGGATGGAAGACCTCGCTCGCTCTCCTCTACCTCTACCTCTGCCTTCCAAATAAAAATAAATAAATCTTCAAAAGAAAATAAAATATTACATGGAAGAAACAACTGAAAACTTCAAGGTGGATGGGGGAATCTGTATTAGAAAACAAGTTGATAATCAATCCCCCTTAAGTCTTTATTCAATGTAAGCTACACGGTAAAGAATCTTTGTGTTTATTAATAAATTCCAAGTGCCTAGAACAGTGTCTGGCACATTGCAGATATACATTAAATAACTGGTAAATATTAAACTATTCAATTATTTTAAAATACAAATGCAGGGCAGGTGTTTGACACTGTTAAGACACTGCTTGGGGGCCAGCACTGTAATGAAGTGGGTTAAAACCCTCGCCTGAAGCACCAGCATCCCATATGGGCACCGCTTCGTGTCCCGGCTGCTCCTCTTCCGATCCAGCTCTCTGATATGGCCTGGGAAAGCAGTGGAGAATGGCCCAGGTCTTTGGACCCCTGCACCCATGTGGGAGAACCAGAGGAAGCTCCTGACTCCTGGCTTCGGATCGGCGCAGCCCCGGTCATTGCGGCCATCTGGGGAGTGAACCAGTGGACGGAAGACCTCTCTCCCTCTCTCTGTAACTCTTTCAAATAAATAAAATAAACCTTTATAAAAAGAAAAAAAGACACTGCTTGGGACATATGCATCCCACACTGGAATGCCTGAATTCACTCCACTTCTTTTTTTTTTTTTTTTAATTCATTTGAAAGACAGAATTACAGAGATGCAGAGGCACAGAGGTCTTCCATCTGCTGGTTTACTCCCCAGAAGGCAGCAATGGCCGGAGCTGCACCAGTCTGAAGTTAGGAGCCTGGAGCTTCTTCCAGGTCTCCCACACAGGTGCAGGGGCCCAAGGACTTGGGCCATCTTCCACTGCCTTCCCAGGCCATAGCGGAGAGCTGGCTTGAAGTGAACAGCTGGGACTAGAACCAGTGCCCATATGGGATGCCGGCACTGCAGGCGATGGCCTTACCAGCTACACCACAGCGCTGGCCCCTTGGCTCCACTTCTGATTACAGCTTCCTGCTGCTAAGCACCATGGGAAGCAGTGGTGATGGGTCAAGTAGTTGGGTCCCTGCTGCCCACATGGGAGACCTGGTTTGACCTCCCAGGTCCTGGCTCCAGTCTGAACCAATTATGGTCATTGAAGTCTTTTGGGGAATAAACCAGTAGGTGTAGGATCTATCTTTGTGTCTCTGCAATTCAAATAATAATAATAATATTAATAATAATCTGCTACGAAAAAAAATCCCAGTGTGGGCCTTCAGCACAGTGGTTACGCTGCCACTCGGGACACCCACATCTCATATCAGAGTGCCTGAGAATAGGTCTTGGTTCCACATCTGATTTCTGCTTCCCACTAATGCATACTCTGGGAGGCAGCAGTTGCTGACTGTTAAGTACCTGGATCCCTGCCACCCATTTGGGAGACCTGGCTTGACCACTCAGCTCTTGGCTTTGGCCTGATTCAGCTCTGGGTATTTGAGCGGTGAACTAACAGGTGGAAGCTCTCTGTCTCTCAAACAAAATGAAAATAAATCAAGATTTTTTTTTTTTTTTTTTTTGGACAGGCAGAGTTAGACAGTGAGAGAGAGACAGAGAGAAAGGTCTTCCTTCCGTTGGTTCACCCCCACAAATGGCTGCTATGGCCAGCGTGCTGCACAGATCCGAAGCCAGGAGCCAGGTGCTTCCTTCTGGTCTCCCATGCGGGTACAGAGCCCAAGCATTTGGGCCATCCTCCACTGCCTTCCCGGGCCACAGCAGAGAGCTGGAATGGAGAGGAGCAACCGGGACTAGAACCCGGGGTACCAGCGCCACAGGTGGAGGATTAACCAAGTGAGCCACAGCGCCGGCCAACAAAAGCCTTTTAAAAACACAATGAGGCTGGCGCCGTGGCTCAATAGGTTAATCCTCTGCCTGCGGTGCCAGCACCCTGGGTTCTAGTCCCAGTCGGGGCGCCAGATTCTGTCCCAGGAGTGCAGTGGAGGATGACCCAAGTCCTTGGGGCCTGCACCCGCATGGGAGACCAGGAGAAGCACCTGGCTCCTGGCTTCGGATCAGCGCGATGTGCCAGCCGCAGCGGCCATTGGAGGGTGAACCAATGGTAAAGGAAGACCTTTCTCTCTCTGTCTCTCTCTCACTGTCCACTCTGCCTGTCAAAACAACAACAACAACAACAAAACATAATGAGTCCTCTGTATCCATGGATTCTGCATCCATGGTCCAACTAACCATGGTTCAAAAATTTAGAGGGCTGGCGCTGTGACATAGGGGGTAAAGCATGACCTGCAGTGCCAGCATTCCATATGGGTACTGATTCAAGTACTGGCTGCTCTACTTCAGATCCAGTTCTCTGCTATGACCTAGGAAAGCAGTGGAAGATAGCCCAAGTCCTTGGGCCCCTGCACCCACACAGCAGACCCGGAAGAAGCTCCAGGCTCCTGGCTTCAGATCAGCCCAACTCCAGCCATTGCAGCCATCTGAGGCATGAATCAGTGGATCGAAGACCTCTTTCTCTCTCTGCCTCTGTAGCTCTTTCAAATAAATAAATAAATCTTTAAAAAATATACTAGAAAGCAAGGTATTGTGTCTGTACTAAAATATACACACTAGTTTCCTTGTCACTATTCCCTAAACAGTACAATATGTATACTATAAGGTAGGTTTTTTCAACTTTTATTTAATAAATATAAATTTCCAAAGTACAACTTTTGAATTATAGTGGCTTTCCCCCCATAACCTCCTTCCCACCCACAACCATCCCATCTCCCACTCCCTCTCCTATCCCATTCTTCATCAAGATTCATTTTCAATTATCTTTATATACAGAAGATCAACTTAGTATATATTAAGTAAAGATTTCAACAGAATGCACCCACACGGATACACAAAGTACACACTGAGTAGTAGTTTTACTGTTGATTCACATAGTACAACACATTAAGGACAGATCCTACATGGGGAGTAGGTACACAGTGACTTCCGTTGTTAACAATTGACACCCTTATTTATGACGTCAGTAACCACCCGAGACTCTTGTCATGAGCTGCCAAGGCTACGGAAGCCTCTTGAGTTCACCAACTCCGATCTTATTTAGACAAGGCCATAGATCTTTCATTTAGTTCTTTTTTTTTTTTTTTTTTGCCACAGTGCCTTGGCTTTCCATGTATAAGGTAGTTTTTTAAAGATTTATTTTTTATTTGAAGGGCAGAGTTAGAGAGAAGCTGAGGCAGAGGCAGAAATAGCTCTTCTATCTGCTGGTTCACTCCCCATGTGGCCACAACAGCTGGAGCTGGGCTGATCCAAAGGCAAGACCCAAGAACTTTTGCCGGGTCTCCTACGTGGGTCAGGGGCCCAAGCACTTAGGCCATCTTCTACTGCTTTCCCAGGTGCATTAGCAGGGAGCTGGATCAGAAGTGGAGCAGCTGGGACTCGAACTGGCACCCATATGGGATGCTGGCACTGCAGGCAGCAGATTTACTCACTATGCCACAGCACCAGCCCCCAAGGTATAATTATAATAATCT